TTCGCTCATAACATTCAAATTCTGCGCTATACATATAATATTTAAGCTTAAAATCATGGAATTGATTATTTAACTTACTCTACTCTATACCTATATACATTTCCTAATCTATAATAGTGTATGAGGGTGAGCTCAGAAGTTTACAGTTTAGCTGGTCCTAAATTTATTGGTAGTATTCCCAAATTTTGGCTGATATCCTGTATTTGGATGGCTTGTGCGTTGGTGATGAACCTGTAAATGATTTTTTAGTCTTAGAAAACTAGAAAACCCTTCTTGGTCTTTTGAGATTTGGCAAATGAATTTTGTCGGTTGTGTTGCCATGCGTTTGCTTAATTTTGCGGTTTTGAGATTTTTGTCTACCTTAGAAACAGTTTCAGCCTTATACTTGTTACGTGTTTTACTCTGTGTCTGCTGATTCTTTATACTATCCACTATATCTGAAATAGAAGGCAGTGGTTCACAATTTTCGTTCATCTTGCTAATAACTTTTTCTTTATTTTGCTGCAAATCAGAATTTAATTTTTTGTACAAACTTTTCATTTTTCTTTATGATTTTGATCATAATTGTCCATTAACCGATTCTCTACATCAAGATTGAATGGTGATTCAGTACCTAAATGTCCTGTTATAATCTCATAAGGCTTTAAAATTTTTACAGAATGAATCGTATTGCTATATGCTAATTTAAGGGGATGTCTGTCATATTTTGTAAGAAGACATGTTTCAAATTATGTAATTCAGTTAGAATCTAGCCTTCACGACAATCACTACTTGTAATTTCGGAAATAAAATATTTTTTAAAAAGGCACTTACGCAAACTCGGAATATATATACTAAGTGACATATAAATCCGAACACCCAGTTTAAATGGTTTTATTTTAATAAAATTTTGTATAAGTACTTAATGAAGCATAATAAGTAAATGATAAAAATTTCAAAATGATTGCACTGCTTTGAAGCCCTTTGACCTTTAATAATGTGCACCCTGATGTGCTACGCATTCTCCAACGCGCCTAGGCATGCTTCTGATCAGGTGGTCAATGTCCTCCTGTGGTATCTCATTCCAGGCAACCACCAACTCCTCTCGAAGTGCTTCTAGAGTCTGAGGAGGACGTTGCAAATTGAGCAATCTCCTACCCATCATATCCCACACGTGCTCAATTGGGGATAAGTCGGGAGATCTTGGTGGCCATGGTAACAATGTGACATCATTATGTTGAAAGAAGTCTATTGTGATTCTTGCAACATGTGGTCGGGCATTATCTTGTTGGAAAGTTGGATCTGCCAGGGTGTCAACATAGGGTAAAAGATGGGGTTCTAGAACTTCGTGGATATAACGCTGCGCGTTCATGTTACCTCTGATGAAGATTAAAGGTGACCTGGAACCATAAGCTATAGCACCCCAAACCATAACTCCAACAGTGTGATGAACATGTCTTTCAACAAAAAACTGTGGATTCCTCCTTTCACCACGTCGCCTTCTAACCCTGGCACGACCATCGTGCATGCCTAAACAAAATCGAGACTCGTCACTAAAGACAATACTGTTCCATTCCTGATCCCAGAGTGACCGTTGTCTGCACCACTCAAGGCGATTACGTCGGTGTTCTCGAGTTAAAGGGAGGACTCAGTGTGGCCGGTATGAAAACAAGCCAAAACTTCTCATTCGTTGGTAAACACTTCGCATGCCAATAGGTCTTCCGTGTTCTGCAAACCATTCATTTGCAATGGACCTGGTAGTGGAGAAACGGTCCCTTAAGGCCAATAATCTTAGGGGGCGATCTTCACGGTCTGTTGTTCTACGGCGGCGTCCAGTGCCCCTTGCTCTTTGCGTACGGCCTTCTCGAAGCCATGCCTGACAACTCCTAACCACAGTGTCTACACTTTGAACTCTAACTGCAAATGCCAGAAAAGAAAGTCCAGCTTCCCGAAGTCTCACTATACGGCCCCTATCAAACTCACTAAATTGACGAAATCGTGCAGGTCTCCGTACTCTAGGCATCGTAACCGATCGTAAAGGATGTCAAGAACCAAAATCCGCCAACGTTGATTCTTTACTGCGGCTGAAATATTCATTTTTAGAGCGTTAGTGAATTAAAAAAAAAGCAGTATAAAAACCGGAATGTCCATCTGATAAGGCTGAAAATTTTTTCACTTGTTATTTACAGTAAGATAAATACATTCACCAACTTTTATTAAAATAAAACAATTTCAACTGGGTGTTCCGATTTATATGTCACTTAGTATATATATATATATATATATATATATATATATATATATATATATATATATATATGCGATTAATAGTTAACGTTATCTACTCATACTTCCTAAATTGCGAAAAATTGGATCGGCTACATATATCTCTCAGTATTGATTTCTCACAATAACAAGTACAACAATTTCAATAGGTAAAATCGACAGGTTGTCTAAAAAATATTTTCTCTCCCTTTCACGCCAGGGCATCAACCAATTTTGTCACCTGGTGACTCTTAATTTACATCAAGAATACAGTTTAAAAAATGTTCCATAATAAATTTCGAAACTTCTCTATTACGTTTTGGACTTGAACGAACGCTCTTCTTAAGGTAGCGCATATGTTGCTTCAGGTTGGTAACAAACTAAACAAAAAACCAATTCCCAAAAAAACTACTTGAGTGCAAATAGTACCAAATTCACACATAAATTCTTACCTCTCGACAACGTTAACATTTTGAGGTTATGCCAAGATGTAACTCTGAAAAGTTATAAAACTTATTCAATTAATAACGTTTGTCCCAATCCGTGTGTTTGTTATCAGTAAAACATAGCCATGTTTCACATTGTTTTCCAAAAAGGATCCGCGTAAATCCAGTTTTTGATCACCTTGCCATGTGTTCTCGTTTACATGTTACAACATCAAATACTTGCACCAGTCTCACTGGCGGAGTAAGTAAAAAGATTTCCAATCAATTGAGCATGGTTGCTATGTACTATTTTTAATTTGTATTTAACTCCTGATGATGGCAGCATAGTCTGTCAAACCACAGCATAATTTGTCGATATCCCCAAAGAAAAGAATCTCCACTTATATATAGGGTGGCCCATCCACGTGTGGACGGGATATTACTCATAAACAAATACATCTTGGGAAAATCTATTAATGACGTGTTATACATGACATTTGAGGGCATATTTCTAACATATTGGAAATTATACAGGGTGTCCAAATTTTATTGCATATTTGGATAAACCAATGCAAAATAAGAAGATATAACATACTATGGGGTTTTGGTAATTAGCTACTGAGATTTAAGGTGTTTTTTTCTGCAGAAAAACCGTCCACTTCGGCAACCCCTCAATCCGCCATTTTGAAATTTGGAGTGCTGAATTTTGTATAAAAAAAAACTTACTCACCTCAGCTTACATCTTATTTGTTGCGTTATCGAATTTTCATTTTTGCTCATACAAATTTCAAACTGTTGACTGTGTTGTTGTCCAAAATGAAGGATAAGGTTCAGTAGCTTGATTGAACCAATACTGTCTATCGCATTAATTGCAACAACTGTAATTTAGTTTATATAGGCAAAACTTCGAGATCAGTGAAAGGCAGGATGACTTCACACAAAAGTGACGCCAGATTGCATCCAGAGAGATGTGCTTTGGCATCACATATTAACAGCGAAGGTCACTCTATGAATTATGTCAGTATTGAGGTTCCTGACAAAGAAAAAAGACTCTCAAAACGTTTATTTTTAGAAATGCCCCACATTTTCATGACAAATCATTGCATGAATAAAAAGGCTGATGTTAAGCAGCTTAGTGTCATTTATTCCTACCTGTTGAATTGCGAAAAGCTAGAACGGCTACATATCCAAATCGATCCAACGTCGTCCCAAAATTAAAATACATTTCCAATTGCTTATCCTGTTAATTGAAATTTCTCACTCACAATCTTTATTATAAATTCACATAACCCATCTTTTCAAGTGTGTATCACTATCTTATATTCGTACACTCTTATGAACTACACACTTTTCCAGAACAAATTAATTCAGCATTTTGGTAATTTGCGTTGAGATTTACCGAGCGTCCCTCGTATCCTTCATACCAAAATTTGACAGTGAGGTTTTTACAGTTACACGTTCCGTCGCGTCAGTCACATGTCATCTGTCGACGCATTATCTTTCCGTTCCGTCCCCCTCTCCACGTGTAGCGGTAGCGAAAGTAGAAGGTTAGAAACTGCATTCCGACTGTTTCCCCAAAATTTCTTCCGTTAATTAATAATTTTTAATATGTTCGGGTGTATTGATAGTTTTAGCACGTAACGATCGTATCGTCGTTATCAATAAGCCCAATGTTTCCGTCCGATTGTTTTTATATTTGTAACAAGTGCTCTCATCTCTACGTTCGTTTTGAAACACCATTTGGCTGCAACCTCAACGACGAGTAAGTTGTTTGACAATTTAATTCGTTCCTGTATTTGTTGCTAGCAGCACAATAATTGTGTTTCCAGATCCTGATGAAGGCTCCATAGAGAATGCCGAAAGCTTGATTTTATCGTCAAAAGAGTTAACTAAAGCCTAAAAGTTTGCCAATTTCCCAATTAACAATTAATTGTATTTTTTGCCCAACTGGTCGTTGGCAATGGCAATGACTACTGCTCACCTAATATATATATATACAGAAAACAAGAATTATGCGGAAAAGGGTATATAATAAAAAGAAAAATAATGGGCAGAATCCTCAAAAAGAAGGAAAGTAGATTCAAGCAGCAGAAAATATGATAAATAACCTGAGCAATATGTATGTCTGCTTGTTGGCTTCATCAGGCCTGAAATGAATGCACATATGCAGCTGCAAAAGTAAATACACTTGCCCATACACTTTTTTCTTGGAAGTTTAGCCACATTTGTGCAAAACTGTTATTGAATCTATGGATAAAACCCTGTACTGTGAAAAATGTTTTATATTTAATTTGAGGCATCCTCCAGTGTTATGACCTTCTTTGATTCCAGGTGGTCAGCTGAAAATCTGGGATTCCAGCACTGGCGAGCTACTGTCCCAGATCGACAGAAAAGGTCATTTCAAAGGCGAAACCAACCAAGATCTATCCATTGAGTATGAAGATGCCCTTTCTGACTACGAATCAGGCTCGCCGCCCTCTCGCGAGCCTTTTCCTAAGCTACTCAATAAGATCAGTACTGATTTCTCGCACCACACTACCGAGAAATCTGCCGAAGATTACTCTGACATGAAATACGAATTCAACAAGGCATACCGATACTTTTATTTCAATCACAAGTGAGTTATGAATAAACATTGTGTATATTTCAGACAATCCACATATTTCTTGGAACTGGTTAACTATGACATTATGCATAGGACCATAATGAAGTGGCCTTTCCTCTATTTGGCTCCAAAAATTGATTGTCATACTCTTTCCTCTCCTTCAAAAATTTCTAGATTGCACCTGTTCAGCATCAGCGCTCTCCTATTGTGAAGATATGTTTTCTTTTTAAAGGCAATTTCAGGCTGATAAAACATGATATATATCAAAAGCATGCACAATTTGATGCAAATAGATATTTGTGATATAACCTCAAAATAGAGCGCTGACACGGAAAAGTAGAAAAATATGACAATCAAGGAGGCCATAAAGTCATCCTACAATGTTTTAGGATGCATTTATGGCCTCCTTGATTTTCATAGTTTTATACTAGTCTGTGTCAGTGCTCTATGTTGAGGGTATGTTACAAATATCTGTTTGCATCAAATTGTTCATGCTTTTGATTTATATCATCTGTTATATCAAAAAGAACACATAGCCTCACAATACGAGAGTGATGATGCTGACTAAGAGATCCACGTGGTGATGCTGACTAGGAGATCCATTAATATGGTAGTAATCCATTTCTGAAGGAAAAAAAAAATGAAAATCAAGGAGGCCATAAAGGCCTCCTACAATAATTGAAGACACAAGTGGATCAAGGTGTCATTTATCATTTTCTTAAATGCTTTTTTGTATTAAACTAACCTTAAGGAGTGATTATTTCATTCTGCGATTACTTTGTTTGAAAAACAAGGTAGTAACAAACTAATTAACCCTTAACCGATGTCGTGACTATTTTGTGCACAACCGCCGTCGAGTGGTCCGTGGGACCGCAAAATAAAAAAAATATATTTTCAATGACTGTTTTAAGAAACACTATTTTCTTGGAATATACTATAGGTCGAGTCCTTATTTATGTATTATATTTAAAAAAACATGTAAAGTCCGACTAAAACATTTATTTTTAACTTTTATAGCATACAGTTTTGTGTATATTAATTTACCAACCTTATTTATTGTAGTTATAAATGACTAAAAAACATTAAACCTGAAAATTATTTATCATATTAAGAAATACTACGCCCTAAAGAACTATTTTGCACAAATATAAGCTCTATGACATCCAAAAGAAAAAAACGTGCTGAGTAAAAAATAACAGAATTTATTGTAATCTACAAATTACTTTATAAGAACACCTAGTCTTTACTAACACAGCTACGGCATATTTTTTTTGGAACATTCCAGGCAAATTGGTTTCTTGCAATGACAACATAATTATACGGTTTTTCTTTTCCTCTTTGGGGGACAGATGTGGTACGTTTTTCTTTCGTTCCTGGCCAACTTGTCGACACCATGGTCCTCTTGTAGCGGAACATCTTGATTTCCCAAAGCTCGTGCAATTGAAGATCTCAGTTTCATATGGTAGTCGCACTGCAACGTGTTTTCGTTGATAATATAGTTCCAAGCACAAACTGGATTAAACACTTCATTTTGCGGAACACGAATTCCAGGTAATTTTAAAATATTATGTGCTGGATTTCGGATATTTCGTTTTGGTTCGGTATAAGACCATTTAAAACGGTTTTTACCATAATAATAATTCGGGTTTTCGTTCGTTCGATGAGTCGTTGTCACTCACTTGTACTGATTGATTATTGGATGGATCAAACTCTTCATTCGGTTCTAGATCTAATTCGGAATCGGTATCATGTTCACTTTCTTCAACGTAATCTTCATCTTGGTCGGATATTTCCACATCTGAGTCTAGTGATTCCAGCATGCGCATGACCTTGGCTTCGAAGTCGGGGTCAGCAAAGTTTACACTGTCGGGAACGCGTCCAGAAGCCAGTTTTATTAACAATACAAAAATGTTGTACACACATAGACACTTTACACTTAAGCCGCTGTGAGGTACCACGGACCGCTTTATTTTATTACGAAAAAACTAACGCTCAAATAAACACGACTACACTACTCTAGCACTGCTGTTGTACTAATAAGAAGGTATTAAGACGGATACGCGTGAACGACAGATAGTAGTGGGGAAAAATTAGGAACAAATATCGCCAGCGGTCCCAGGTACCTACGACGTCGGTTAAAGGTTAAACTAAATATTTAAAATGTCAATAAAGTAAAAAGTCCCAATAAAGAATGTTTCAAGTCAATTTTCTCCATACAATCATTTTGTTACCAGACACCCTTATCCACTTGTATCATCAATTGTAGGAGCGACTGACAAAAAACTATCTCGAAATATACATGAGTTCAAAAGAATTTACCAAATTGGACAAGCTCAATAAGAAGACAACATATTATTGAACTCATATCAAATATCCATTAAAACTTATCGTCTTCTATATAAACACCTCTTCAATATAAATTTCATTTCAATTTATTTTATTTTTCTTTTGTATTTATTTTCGAAATCACAAGTATGGATTAAAACATATTTATTTACCCATTCTTTATTGTTATTATTGTTGTTATATTATGGAGTAAATAAATAGTTACTATTCTCTACTATTACTACCATCAGTTGGCTTTCAAAAACTCCTAAAACTGTGGATATCTTTAAACAGAGGAATATGTTTGGGTTAAACAGAAAGTTATAGTTTGTCTGTTTGTTAAAGATTTATTTAGCGTTAATGCTGCAATGTCAATTTTGTATAATTAATCGTTTACCCATTTTCTTGAATTAATTTTCTATAATTTTACATTTTTGTCTTTTAAAATTATATCACTATGCATTTTGAGTATCCATAGTGATTTTTTAATTGCTCCTTAAACATTTTTAAATTCGAACACTGTTTAATATCATTATTCAATTTATTAAATTCAAATACTCCCTTTTGAAATACAGATTTGCTGGTTATGCTACTACCACAATTTTGCAGATGAATATTTGTACTGCCTCTAGTTTTGTAGTTATGATAATGACTATTTAATTTTGTGGAGTTTTCTAAATGATTTTTTAATCGAAATATAAAAATAAGAACTACATAGCATATGAAATTTGGTAGTTCTTCTAACATAGACTTAAACCTAGCATATTTGTTTTCTTTTAAAATGATTCTCATAGCTTTATTTTGTAGAATTTATAATTTAGAAAATATGTTTTCATTTGCTTATAAACAAGATGAGAATAATTATAGTGTTATACACTATTTTTTTGGAACACATACTGAGATTATGGGAAACTCCACATATACAGAGTGTCCCAGAAGTCGACGTCAAGCCGAAACCGGGTGATAGGCAAAGTCATAACAGCTATCAGAAAAATATTTAAAAAAATTTCATGTATGTGTTTTGAAAATTATAGGTCTTTGAAAAAAATATAGAAATCTGTCTGTCAACTCCTGTTACTTCAAATATTAACTTTTTTTGGATTTTATTTTTAAAATGTAATGATGAATAATGCATCTTCAAACTGGTGTCTCAACCTTACTGCCAACTTTTCTCGTTCAGGAAAAATTGCCACTTATTTCCCAACCAAGTATTCCAAAGTAAAACTTTGCTCAACTTTAACTGGCTGTACTGGAAAAAAATGTACTACGAGAGTTTGGCAAGTAACCTTAAAAGTTGGCGCATTCAATAAGGATTCCTAAATGGTATAACACTTAGAAGATTACTCGTTAACTTATGCACAATTTTTATTTGAAGAAAAACTGATGAACATTTTTCAAAATTTCCTAATTAAACAGCGATTATGAAAACGCACAAGGACCCTTAAGGATAACTGTTTGCACAACAGTGGGCGTCAAAATGCTGCTGATGATGATTTACCTTTACAGCAAAAACTGTTTTCCTTCAGCCGCAATACACGCTCGACATCTCCTTAAAAAAGATCTGGTTATTAAACGAGCGAATCCACGGTTATTAACAAACTCAGCTGCTTCCAATAGTCTTTGCCGTAGCTCAGCTACATTTTGAATCGGCTTGAAATACACTTTTTCTTTTACAGTTCCCCAGTAAAAAAAATCTAACGGATTCAAATCTGGTGACTGGGCTGGCCACGGTATTGTACCAGACCGCCCTATCTATCTGCCTGGAAAGTTTTGATCGAGATACTCTCTCACTGAGAGTGCATAGTACGCTGGGCAACCGTCATGCTGAATGAGAAAAGTTGGCAGTAAGGTTGAGACACCAGTTTGAAGATGCATTATTCATCATTACATTGTAAAAATAAAATCCAAAAAAAGTTAATATTTGTAGTAACAGGAGTTGACAGACTGCCGTAGGGTGTGTAATTTCTATATCTTTTTCAAAGACCTATAATTTTCAAAACACATTCATAAAATTTTTTTAAATATTTTTCTGATAGCTGTTATGACTTTGCCTATCACCCGGTTTCGGCTTGACGTCGACTTCTGGGACACCCTGTATACCCAGATATTTGAATGATTCGACTAATTCAATTTTTTCATCATTAATCATGTATTGTCATCTAAATGTTTCCCTATTGACATACATTTATATTTTGAATTTTGCAGTGTTCTAAAATGTCTGAGATATCATTTATATATATATATATATATATATATATATATACAGGGTGACTTCGAAGTTGAGTCATTTATTTTAACAGTGAGTAGATCTGATCAAAAGAAATGTTTTTTCCTTTAACATTTTTCTGGTAACATTAAATTAACAAAGTTATAGCCCTTTAGAAGTTCGAGTACCGCCCTGTCTCAATAATAATATTATGTGCTCGTGTGGTCATGATTCTTATTTACGCGGCATCACGGATTTATGCGAATCGGTTTCCCAATCGAGTGCAACCAACCCTTCGTGCCTTTGTTAATGTAGTACAAAGGGCTCGTGAATCAGGTGACTTAAGACCTCACAGGGGAGGGCATGCCGGTGCTCCAAGACCGCACGATCAAATACAGGTCCGCACTGAAATACTTGTCGGGAGGATACTTTATAAAACAAGGTAACATTTTTTTTTATTTTTACACACATATTTTGGTTTATCTTCCTTCTACAATCATTATCTGAAAATTAATAACTCAACTTCAAAGTCACCCTGTATATATACGAGTATATGATAAATAGTAACGGCCCTAATTTACACCCCTGTGGCACCCCTACTGAGATATTTTTACATATTTCCAACTTTATTATTATATTTATAGTCTCAAATGCCCTTTTGAAGTCTGAAAATGTTACAATGCATTCTTTCTTATCTGTACTTCTTCTCCAGTCTTCCACCACCATTTGGATTGCTGCTTCTGTAGAATATTTTTTTCTAAATCCAGCTTGATTTTTTGTCAAAATTTTGTTTTCTTCAATGAATTCGATGATTTGTTCGTATATTATCCCATCGAACAGCTTTTCGACATCTGGCAATACATCAATCGGCCGCATATTTGTATATAGCTCAAAATGTTGGACATTTGGAACACGAGTAATGGTGGAACACTTTTGATGGGAATTCGTCATTTACTAAACAATAATAATAATAATTTATTTCCAATTATATTTAAACAATCATTTAGAGTCTTTCTTGAGATATTCCCACTGGGATTTTTATCAGATTTAAATCCTGAGATGTTTATTGTCCAATTGATTTATTGATGAATCATGACATACTTGTAATTGTACATAAGTTGGGATCACCGTCATCAATCATCTTCACTATTTGATTTATACTGTCTATAGAATAAGTGTTCATGCTTTCTGATATAATTATTTTTTCTGTCACTACCCCATCGAAACGCATTTTAGATAATTCACTCTTTCTATTTTGGAGAAACAATATTCCTTATCGTTTTCCACATCATTTTAGACTTATATTTATTGCTATCGATCTCATTATCATAGTATTTTTTCTTTTCCCTCCTGAAGACTGCTACACGCTCATTTCTTGATTTTGTATGTTTCCAATCATTTTTACTTTGGCCAATTATGTAATGTATTTTACTTGATGGCGAATATATGGGCAACTGTAGCCTGTTACTCAACGTGAAAGTTAACCTACTATTGAAAACCAGACTGTGCTGACTATCTGACCAATAAGTGAAACCGCACACCACAAAAAAGAAAAATATGTAACATAAAATGTTTCTTCGTTTCTTAAGCCTCTTATATCGGCTATTAAGCAATCTTCTCTTGCATGTGGATAGATGATTTCTAAATGCTATAAATATTTCGATATGTCGGAATCATCACGTTATTTTGTGAGGGAACAATGTAAGATGACATTGCAGCCAGCAACTCAAAGTACCTACACATTGGGGATCCTCTAACATCTATAGTATAAGAAAAACCTAATAAGCATAGCGAGCACCAACCAAGAGGATTCAAAGCTAATTTAGTTTGTAGCTGAAGTACCTGTTGGAACAGCATTTTGTTCACTTTGTTTAGCATGATTGCTACAATTAAATTTTTTTAAAAAACCCCAACAATTACATAACATACAGATATTTAGAAAAACAATATTTGCATCTCTAAGAATGTTCCATGCAGTGTCTGTATTTTCATCTGTTATGTATATTAATGTATCATCCGCAAATATCTGAATTCTACAATAATAATATCACAAATGTGATTAATGTATAAAATAACTACCTTATGGTACACCAACAGAAATATCTTTTGAGCTTGATAAGGTAGATCCAATTTTGTGTTTTTGGCTTCTTTCAATTAAGTAGTTATGTAGAATTTTGAATACAGATCCTTTAAATCCATTGTGATGCAATTTTGTAACCAATTTATCGCTGTCAATAGTTTCAAACGCCCTTTTGAAGTTAAAAAACACTGTAACTGTATGATTCCGATTGTCCATACATCTCCTCCAGTCCTCTAAAACCATTTGTATTGCCGTTTCAGTTGAGTGTTTTTTCCTGAATCCAGCATGAAATTTGGTTTCTATTCCCTTCGATAAATTCGATGATCTATTCGTAAATAATTTCTTCAAAAACTTTTTCAACATCTGGAAGAACATTTATTGACCGCATATTGGTGTACAACTCGGAATTCTTAACATTAGAAACAGGAGTTATGGTAGAACACTTCAGTTTTGCTGGAAATTCGCCATATTTTAAACAGAAATTTATCAGGATTAATATTCTTGCTCCAATAATATCAAAACATTCATTAAGCAGCCCTTTCAGACAAAATTTCACCTTGATTTTGATTTGATTCCAATTTTACTATAATCTGGGGACGATTAATGTTTACCCACCGAATGATGCATTACAATCTGATCTAATGGGATATTGGTTGGGTCAATAATTGATCTTACAATGTCGTTGACACTTTCTATGAAATAGGTATTCATTCAATCTGCTATTATTTTTTCATTTGTCATTACCCCATCGTCAAACTTCATTTTAGATAATGAATTTCATTTAATAGGAGAAAAAATGTTTTTCAATGTTTCACTTCTGGTTGCTATTATTTTTACTGGCATCAATTTTGGTATTGTAATATTTTTTCTTTTCATCTGGTAGAACTGTTATGGATTGGTTTCTTGATGTTGTGTATTCTAGCCAATTATTTTCACTTCCAGTAATCACTTTTTATAATTGTAGTCTCTTTTTAATTTAGAATTCTTGAACGTCTGTTAGTACCAAGGTATATTCCTTTTATAAATTGTTGTCTTGACGGTAGCATCTTCCAATCAATTATCCAAAATACTTGCATAGTAGCTATCAACATCAACAAACATTTCAGTCATATCTTGCAGTAAAAGAGCTTCTCGTAATTGTATATAGTTAATATTAGCAATTTCTGCAACTTTGTAAGCATCAAATATACTTTCAACCTCAAAATATATCCATGAATGATTACTGATTTTAGGAGTATGCATAACATTTGCAATTACATTTTTTTCGTTTGTTATTATGAAATCTATAATTGCTCTTCATCGATTTTTAATTCTGGTATGATCATAGGCTTTTTGCCATAGTCCATAAAAACTGAGTACCCTTGCGTATAAGTCCCAGTTAGCAAAATTTATAGTAAAATCACCCAAATGTACCATGATGTAGTTTCAATAAAAATGTTTCTCACAGATATGTTCGAAAAAAAATCTATAAGTCTATTGATATTTCCAGTTGGAGATCTGTAGTAATAGGGTAAATTATAATTGTGCTAAGCATTCAATTCAACATTGATATCTCACCATTGGTACTCAACAGCTACAATTTCATGTGGTCTAGTTTCTATTTCACATAAATATATAATAATATTTATGTGCGGTAATTAAATTCTCTGAAGTTTGCTTAGATTAATCACCTTTAATAATTAATTTTAGGTATGACATTCGATTGAGGCATGAGCCTCGACAAGAGCTAAAACAACATAGTATAACGGAGACTAGCAGTAGTCCTAAGATGTGTCCGTCAACAGAAAACCAAAGAAACTGTGACAATAATGATGTAGTGGATAGTGATAGTAACAGAAGTAATTTAGTGACGTGGCTTAATAGAGAACTGAGCGGTTCTGTAAGTTTGGACTTTACAAGTTGCAAGATGTCGCCTATATGGTGTTTGGACTATTTTGACAATCTGATAGTAGTGGGATGCGCTGATGGCAGATTGGAGTTTTGGGATGCTACTACTACAAACCTTAAGGTACGATTCAAGAACAACAGTTACGTAAACGTTCTGGAATAAGATCGCAATTTTGCTATTTGTGTTCCCACAGGAGCACTGACAGCACAATTTTGCCAGATAAAAAAAAATCACTAGAAATTGGAATGAAAAATCACCCGGAATTGTAAATTTTAATTTTTTAAGCTGTATTACTAGTTGTAAACGAAAAAAAAAGCATTTGTAAGGTTTGTATACAACCTTATTAAATTGTTTAATAAAACACAATTCATTGTAAATTTCCTGCTTCTGTGGCGAAGGCAGTAAAATAATATTCTATTAGCACCAACGTAAGATACAATTTTAATACCCAGATCAGAATTATTATAAAAATATCCTACATTTTTTACCAAAACAAATTTTTATTTTCCAATGTGATGATCTTAATACATAATACTCCTGTAGTGTAAGTAAATTAATAAGCATCTAATATACAGGGTGTTATTTAAAAGTTTATATAAACAGAAATTTATCAAACTTTTTTTATGAATCATTTTTCCTTAATATCTTGATAAACTTTTAGTCGATTTTGTTGAAATTTAGCAGTGGTATTAACCGACATCTTTGACAAAAAAAAATGGGCGCCACCTACTTTTTTCAATTTTTTTCGAACTAAGCAGCTAAAAATACATCTTATTTGTCTTCTGAGTTTCTTTCATATCTCGCTTCGTTTGCGAGATAAAACATAAAAAGCACTTTATTGTATGTTTTCGATAAGTTAGACGAAATAGTATTTTGACTTTTTTTGCTCAATTATATCTGCTTTCGATAAAAAAAAATAAACAAAATATTTACATAACGTTATTTATTATTGCCAATGGCGTTGCACATTGGTAACGCTGGAAATTAAAAAAATGGAACCCAAAAAACGTCTTTTTAAAACTACACTTGCAACTTTTATTTCAATGAATACTTTTAAGTAATTAACACGAGACATAATAGTTGCTGAAAATGCCCTCCTTCAACCTCAGTGCAAGTATTACCTCGTCTTAGCATTGATTGTCGAACTCTTTAAAATATTCCCGGCGTTCTTTTCTGATCACATGAATCTCGTATCCGTTGTGTTAATTCTTCTTCAGTATTGACTGGATGTTTGTAAACGAGGAACCTTAAATGCCCCCAAAGAAAAAAATCCAGCGGATTTAAATCCGGTGACCTGGGTGGCCATCACTGTGGATCTGCGCGTCCGATCCAGTTTTCTCCAAAAGGTGCTAGCTACTCTGCTGAAGTGAGTTGGAGCCCCATCGTGCATAAACCATATTGCTCCTCTTACTTCCTGCGGGACATTTTCTAGTAGTTCAGGTAAAATAAATTAAAAAAAAATGATGATGCTCTTGACCATTTAATCTCGGGGATAAAAAATGTCCAATGAGATAATCACCTGCAATACCAATCCCAACGTTCACGGAAAACTGTTGTTGATAATTAACTTCTGAAATCGTATGGGGATTGGCAAATAAAATACTGTTGTTGCAAAAGCCAAGTACAATAAACGACTCATTGCTGAAAATAGGTAGGTAATAACGCTTGAACACGCTGTGGTGAAGATACAGTTGATATTCCCTTAAAATCTATTATTACTGTCTCATGAGGAAATATCAATTTTATTGGTCTGTTCAAAATTTGGTGAATATCGGTCCACTAGTTTCCAAGACACCTGGTCGTTCTCTGACTGTATAGACTTTTTCACTCCTTTATGACGCTTAACCAGCATTTTTGTGTGCAGTGTATCTTCGAAGATGGCGTCGACTCCGGCGTAACCCACGTGAAGATGATCGGTGCCAAAGTAGTAGCGGCCAGATTATGCGGTACTCTGGAGTTCTTCCAGTTGCAGACTTACAATCAGGGTAGAGTCGTGGATTGGAATTTTACGTGTGCCTATAGGAGGATGCACGTCAGAACAGGATCTGCAGGGTCGATAGCGGAATCTGTCGGAGGACAGGTAGGTTGGTAGGCTTACAAGGCTAGCTTTCTCTTGTTTTTAATTTTTTAGAATTAGGGAGCTGGATTAAAAAACTGTTGGTTCAAGACCTTGATGTCAATTCAATTTATATCATTACCAAGCAGAATCGAGGGAGGCTGAAAAACACTTCAGCACATATCGCAAATTTGTCATTTCTGTTTCTAAAATGAAAGATTTGGATGTAACTTGATCGAAAATATTATTTTTTTAAGGAAGCCTCTACTTGCTATTTTATATACAGGGTTATCCAAATTAAGTGTCCACCATTAGTAACTTTGTTATTAGAGAAAATACAAAGTTGTTTGAATTAGCAAACTAGTAGCATTTTTAACGCTGGTAAAAATGAGAAATAAAAAAAAACAATTGAGAGTCGTTATTTTGATTTTTTTCAGTAAAATAACATTTTTTTAAATCTAAACCCCTGTATATTATATTTTTTTCTGTTAAAGCATCAAATTTTAAACAAAAAAGCTTACAATAACTTTTCTCCTAGGTTACAAATTGTTGAAGTTATGGCCTCCAATCTGAAACAATTAAATTGTATCGACAAACTTTATTTTCAACATCAACTTATAATCTTACAAAATACAATAACAATTTTTTTTTAAAGAAGATGCTCGAAAACACCACCTTGTTCTTCAATACATTTTTGGGCACGTTTTTCAACTGCTCGAACTGTCTTAAGTATAGTCCTTCCATCTATCTGGGTTATCTTTTCCCTAACTGCAGTCTTTAACGCGTCAAGGTTATCGTACCTTCGCTTGTAAATTTGGTTCTTTAAGTAACCCCACAAGAAGTAATCAAGTGGGTTTAGATCTGGTGATCTGGGAGGCCACTGTATTGGGCCATTTGTTCCTATCCACTGATCATTAAAAGTAGTACTTAGAAAATGATAAGTACCTCTGGAGTTGTGGGCAGGTGCGCCATCTTGCTGAAAATGCAGATGATGTCTACTTATAAGACCAATTCGTCTAAGAAATTAGTCAGAATTTCTGACATAAATTCCACATATCTTTCACCAGTTAGGGTTCCCTCATAAAAGAACGGGCCAACAATTTTTGAATCAATTATACCGCACCAAACGTTGAAACTGAAACGGACTTGTGGGCCTCTTGGATGTACTAACAAAAGATTTTCTCTTGACCAATAATGGTGGCTTTTTCTATTAAACATTCCAGAATTTGAAAAATTTGATTCATCTGTCCATAAAAGGTAACGAAAGTTATTTACATTTTGGCGACAGAAGCTAAGATACCAATGGCAAAAAACAAGTCTTCTCTCTGGATCCCCTGCCAAAAGCGTTTGAACTGGTCGGTACTTATACGGAATAAATTTGTATTTTTTTAAAATCCTTTGAACAGTACCATAACTGAAATTAGAGTCCTTGAGAATATCTGCTATTGAATTCTCACGATAAGCTTCAAAATATCCAATAACTGCAATTTCCGTGGCCTCGCTTATTATGAATTCTTTTTTTGCCCTTGTTTTAGCAAAAACATTTTCGTTGCCCCTAAATTTTCGATAAAGTCTCAGAAAATATCGTTCATACGGTTGAATGCGAGCGGGATATAATTCACTGTAGTCTTGCTCTCAAGGAGGATTTTCTGCACACTAAATAGCATTCTAACATATCACACTTTTCTTCATGGGAGAACATTTTTCTTTAAATTAATGACACAATAAAGCTTATAAACAAGTATTTACACTAATGTTTGACATTATTTGATTTTATCATTGTTTTCCAAAGCCTTCTAGTTGCGAGTATGTCCAGTTTAACAATTTGTCGCTTATCTTAATGCTGTCAAATCGCGAACGCCATGTTGTTTTCATAGCCGTCTTAATATTATAATACTGCAAATAATTAAAAATATTTATCGTTATTTTGACTTTATTTTTGACTTTAGCGGAAAAGTCATTATGAACTTTTTTGTTTAAAATTTGATGCTTTAACACAAAAAAATATAATATACAGGGGTTTCCATTTAAAAAAATGTTATTTTACTGAAAAAAATCAAAATAACGACTCTCAATTGTTTTTTTTTTATTTCTCATTTTTACCAGCGTTAAAAATGCTACTAGTTTGCTAATTCAAACAACTTGTATTTTCACTAATAACAAAGTTACTAATGGTGGACACTTAATTTGGATAACCCTGTATATAACTTTGAAGTTGCATTTTGGGTGGTGATACTGTGGTATAGAACGCTCTAAATTATAAGAATATTTCATACACTGTATATTACTGTTAGAATATTCATCGCAGTAATGCAATTCTGAATTATTTTAATGATGAAAATAGATTATTGTTAAGGAGGCATTTCTTTTATTTCAGATAAACATTCACATCACTATAATAATTTCTCCCTCTAGTTGCAATGTTGCCAAATCATGGATGGTAGTGGTCGGATAATATAGTAAAACAAATGTCGCGCGCGAATTAGAATCTACTTTGGTTTGTCAAATTCTTTCTCTGTATAGACTTTCTTTCCAGAGATTCTTACCATTGTGACATACATTTCATAATAGGCTGTCGACTAGGCCAAAGACTGGTGGTTATCTCCTTGGGCAAAAATGTGCAATCAGCACAGGAGTGCCATGAAAATGCTATTTGGAGGTGTGTCCGGCAGGTTTTGAAAAATGCCCTATGCCCTTCACAAAAATACTTCATTTTTTTTTTGTTATAGTATAATTAGTTACTAAATAATGAAAACATTATAATAAATACTATTATAGTCAGAAAAAGATATTTTAGTATGAGAAATGTGCGATATTGAATAACCTTTTTGATGATTTGATGAAATGGTCGTTGTTCGTTGGACGATGGTATGTTGTGTGGACCGTGTGTTTATTAGAAGCTGAATATCAGTTGTAAATGCTTATAATAAAAAGTCTAAAACATATGCTGGCTAAACGATCTGTTAATAACCATAATTTGAGTATTTTTATATGCAATTGCTGCTGGTGCCTTTTGTATTTTATGTCACGCGAGCCATTAGTACATTTTCCACTGTTTAGGCACATACTGTAGAAAATTTCATCTAATTTTCAGTGAATATTGGGACAACTTTTTATAAAACAAGCCATTTGCAGTGGAGACTTATTTTGCAAATAATCTCATTTTTTATCACAGATATCTCCCAAAAAAGTACAATTTGGCAACAATGGGCAGCATTTGTGTTATCTGTCAAGAAATGAACATTACAAAATGGCCCTTGAAAATTGTTGCTGCTTTCAAACATATCTTGTAAAAAAAACTTATGGAATTTCACGAAGACATTGAAAAAATCACAACACTACACCTATGCACAGTTTACCAAGTAAAAACCATCATTATTTACGGTATTGTAACCTATTACACGGCTAGTTTTGAACCTTTTTTTTTTTTTCTGTAAAACAATACGATTTTTTACAGTTTCACATCTATTTTCCTATTTCTACTGATTTCTTTAATTTTTCCCGAAAAAATAAACAAGAATTTCGGTCTTCGGCCTAGTCATACCTTGAGGGCATACAAATATTTGTTAAATCCGGGGAGCGAGCAGGCTAAGAAATGGGTCCATTGCGCCCTATCCATCTATTCGGTAACTAATTACTTAGATGTTCATGAACTTCTCGTCTAAAATGTGGTGGAGCCACATCATGTAGGAACTATTATATTCTGTCTCACATTTAGAGGAACATCTAATAATTGTGGCAGATTGTGTCGAAGAAAACCTAAATAAATTTCATTCTCAGCCGAGGTGGAAAAAAATATGGTCCAATAAGCATGGCATTTATTACGCCAGCGCAAACATTTATTGAAAATCTATGTTGAAAATGAGTTCTTTTTACAGCATCCCGATTTTCTACTGCCCAATCATGATTGTTGTGGAAATTGTGCACTCCATTTCGTGTAAATGTGGCCTCGTCTGTACACAAAATTAATTTCGCAGAATCTTCGATCCTGTCGAACTGTTCTTAAATCCACTGGCAAAATGCAACTCTTCTAGGATGATCTTCAGGTTGTAACGCTTGTACCCGTTGATAATAATAAGGATAATACTGTTCTTGTCGTATTGCCTTCCACACTTAACTATGAAAAACTCAACTTGAGCTGCTATGGCTCTGTTATTCATTCTTGAGTCGTCTTCGACCATTTCTAAAATGTCTTCCTCAATTTGTAACATTTTGATCTCCTCGCTGTTCTTTTTAATACAACCTGCATGCTGCGGCTGCATTTTGCAGACGATCTCCGTATGTTAGTATTATGTCCACTAGTTCATTTTTTTCGTAAACATGGGCCATTTTTTCACACAAAATAATCAGAAAAATGAAATTATTCGCACTATTAAAAGACTGATCGAAGACTCGAACTGAAAACCATACAATAACACAAAAAGTTTGCCAAATTTAGATGAACGATAAGAGTAGTAAACAATAAACGCTAAGATTTTACACGGCAGTGGTCGAGAATATCTAAAAATCTGTGTAATAACATTCTCAATTTTTTACTATTTCTTTTATTATGCAACTTTTATATAGGTGATTTTTGCCGAGTCCTATAAGCAGTAAAAACTTTGAAAACACCCTGTATAAAATATAGCACCTAAAAAGTATCTATTTGAATTCAATTTCCGAAAATCTGTTGGAATCGTATACATCTTGCATTCTTATAGGCTAGCGTGAGTCCAAACAACGTTGCCAATTCGTCGGAAACCCTGCGGTGCCTGAAGATACACACCGCGCAGGCGCACCAGCAGCCGATTACCTGTTTAGATTGCGAGGGTGGCCGCGTGCTCACCGGCGGCCAGGACCACGTGGTAAAGGCGTTTCGATTGAAGGACGGCCAGCCAATATACGCCCTGCACGGGCATTGCGGACCGATCACGTGCGCTTTCGTAGACCGGGTGTGCCCAGCGACAGCAGGTAGCGGCTCGCAGGATGGCATGCTGTGCGTTTGGGATCTCATAACTGGTAGGTATTCTATACTATAACTATCTAAAACTGTAATGACTCATCGATGTTCACGTGAACATCACTTAACTACCAGTAGTCGGCTGTTCATAGGCGGGGTATGAATGTTTAACATGGGTGAACTAGATTTGTCACATGCTTAATAAAGAGTGGTTTGAAACATATTGTAAGTCAAAAATTTGGGAATTACCTTTATTGATCGTCGCTTCCACTTACATCTGACAGTAATAAACTGTCGCTATCGCTTTCCTCGTTGAAATTGACTATAACTGGCTCTATGATGGTGTCGATGTGGTGGTCAAACTGACACATTTTTGTTTCTTCCTTCACAGCATGACGGATAGCTTTCTGCCAAGCTTCGGGCGTTACTAGCTGTATGGAAGTCTAAAACCTTAACGTCTGGTAATTTGAAGGTTGTGCTATGGCGCGCAATATAACCCTTCACTTGAGCCCAGATGAGCTCTATTGGGTTCAGTTCACAGTGGTAGGGCGGTAACCGCAGCACAGTGACACCACATTGACGGGCCATCTCATCAGTCACGTAACTAATGTTCGCAGGTTTGTGCTGTTTAATTTTTTCATACAATTCCGCTTTCACACATGAATCGTCAAACGGGATTCCTTTTTCGCGCAACCATTGCTGCATGTCACTTTTTCGAGATCCCATAGTCGGTACACGTTCGGCTCGACGACTATGGTAGGAAGTATTATCCATGACGATCACAGAGTTGGGCTCAACTCGCTGAAGCACCGCCTGAAACCAGCTCTCGAAGCAGCTGGCATTCATTTCGTCGTGGTAATCACCTCCTTTCTTAGACACGAAAATCAAGTCACACTCTTCTAAAAAGCCACTATCGCTACCAATATGAGTTACGATCAATATTTGACCTTTCCCTGACGGTCCACGAAGACCTGTTGACAAACCTTCAATGCTTGCTTGTCGGTTACTCACTACGTTTTTGTCTATCCAGGTTTTTTTAACTGTGTGACCTGCATTTACCCATGTCTCGTCCAAATAATAGATTTTTCTGCTTTGTCGCCTATATTCAATCATTTCGCGTAGGTATTTTCGAAGCCAGGCGGCTATTTCAGGTCTCTCTATCAATACTGACTTCCGATTACGCGTTTCGTAACGAAAATTAATTTCGTGCAGGGATTTCCTCATTACCTCGACGCTCATTTGGGGTATAATTTCATTTTCCATGATCGCTGCATGTACAGCCTTGAAGGTTGGTATCTCATTCCTAAAGAAGAATGAATGTACGGTTCGCCTTAACGCCATTTTGCTATCGTCATCCAATTTAACGGCCTTTCGTCCCTTCAAATTAAACTTTGGATCAGTAGTAGCTCCAGTTTTCTTCTTTTCATGCACCACCCTGCGAATGGTCCACTCTGGAACGCCTGTCATACTTTCACAACGCGCGAGTGCATCTCCCTGCGACATAGTTCTGTTCAGATAATTGAACACGTTGAGCACGATTTCTTTCGCGTCCCTCTTCAGTGCTTTACGAAGCCGTCTACTTGTTTCCTGGCTTTCAGTACTTCCACTCGTGCCATTTGTACTCTCCATGGTTAAGTATAACCAAAACAGTAACCACATAAACCACAACAATAACAATCACACAACAATTGTTATAAAAACACACAATATACGATCGCTCAACGAAACACGTTCCAATGCGTTGCCGACGCCTATGAGTCTGCCGGTCGAGGCGCGTCTTTGATTTCATTGGTTCTACCGGCGGAGAACAATCAGCCATTATTTCCATCTCTGTCTGTGCTGTTGACCACCGCAAAGCCACAGAAACGACATATGTCGTACGCTATACGGCTGTACTGGAAGGAAGCCGGGATCGAGCTCTGATCACGTGTTGATCACGCGTATGAGTCATTACAGTTTTAAATAGTTATAGTATAGTAATGTAAGAATTCTAAGGGAGATATTCGTTGATTATGAGTATTGAAATCCTCGGATGATGTACCACGCACAAAAATATATGAAGGAAACAGATTAATTAATAAACGCCTTTATTTTTTTACAACATTGAAACGCAGCTAAGGTAAGACTTAAGGCTGCTTTATAGTTGTAAAGGAACTTATAGTTGCATGCTTCCCCTTGCCGCGCCTAGGTCCAGGTAGGCGGGCATTTCATTCTACGTCACGCTGTGCATAAGGCGCTATCAACGACATGCCTTCGACACCGCAGCATACGGTTTCATGGATGTCTCTTACCAGTTGTACTCTTTACTTGCGCTTCAATGCACAGTGCATCCCAGCTCATATTCGTTCGTTTCATATACAAATAGTAAATTCGTAGGCACAGTACTGGGTTTCTTTCGTTGAGCCCGGAATAGCGTCAACGAGAGACGGCGGTTTTTTTGTGTCGATAAATATTTGATACAGATATACCAAAAGCACAAAATTTCTTTTTAATTTTGATGTTGTATTTTCCCACCGCGGTATTATAAAGACTCTTGTAAAACTCACACCTATGTCTCAATAATCTGAGAATGAGAGAAGATCTGGGTGAGAAGTACTAAGTCAGACTACTTGCATCCATTTTTTTGTATTCATTATTTGGACGATTTTTGAGATTAAATTATTGATTACTGGATTTATGCACCAACCATTTTGTTTCAAATCGATAATTTTGGATACTAAGGGCGCTGTACATGAGGTTCAAAAAATATGTTATTGATGTATTCACTAGCATTTATTGTTAACAAAAAAAATGCTTTTTCCATGACGATTAATTACGTAAATGTTTATATAAAAAATGCCGAAAAAAATCATTCTTATCCTAAAACAGATATTGAATGATGATGATCAATCTACTACTCACGTTTTCTTCAAGCTTAATGTTAGTAATTTTGGTTGGACTCCTGAAAGACGTGGAATATCGAGGATCTACGAGCCCTTTCCCACTTCAGTTGGCCCACTTCAAGATTTGTACCAAAATATGCCTTTATAAACTAAACATGACGAAACTATTTACTTCTAAAACAATTTATTTTCTCGAAAACATTTTAGATACACTCTAGTCGTAAAAATACATATTTGAAATCACTTACACCTATAACTAATAGAACAAATAAACAATGTGCGAATAAATGCGCGAAGTTAACAAAGCAACAATTGAAAGATTACCATTGGGTAACATCACCTTTATTTTTTATTACGGCTGAAATTCTTTGGGGCATAGTGTTAACCAAGTCCTGGCAAAAAATTTGGTGTAAAACAATCCCATATCTCTTGAAGCTTTTGTCTCAGTTCGGTGATTGTACGAGCAGGATGTTGTCGTAGAGAACCTTTTTCATCTCTTGCCACAAAGTTTCAATAGGTGACAGATCTGGACTGCTAGAAACCCATTTCAAAAGTGGTACATTATTTTCTTCCATCCATTTTATAGCCTTTTTTGAAGTATGGCACGCTGCACCATCTTGCTGAAACACAAAATCTTGGCCGGATGTCAAACATTCTTCCATCACTGGTAAAAGCGATTCTTCTAAAATTGCCAAATATTTGTTTGTATCCACATTTCCATCAATAAAATGAAGTTTTCCTACTCCTTTTGATGACATACTGCCCCAGACCATAATGGATGCTGGAAATTTTCACTTTTCTCTTCGGACAGTCAACATGGAATGCTTCATTTTTTTTGCGAATAACTCTACTGCGACTGTCACCAACTCAAACTTCGAATCGGGCCTCATCACTCCATTGAGGTGTCCATTGTCTATGTTCTTTAGCCCATCTAAGCCGATTTTTCTTTTGCAGTGGAGTTAAAAGTGGCTTTTCTTTGGCCTATAAACAAGTTGTGCAACTTTAAGGTTTTTACTTCACTTTTTTTATAAGAAAACTTACCTTGCAAGTGCTAAATCCCAGTTTGTGGGCCTCTCTATGAGTTGTGGACCTCGAAATTCTCCTTCCAACAGCGTCACTCCACAGAGCACTTAATTGTAAATAATTGGCACGCCTGTTTTTCACGATTATTCTTCTTAATGCTCTTCGGTCGGCATTTGTGATATTACTTTTTTTCACATATCGTGGCTTAATATTAACTGAACCAGTTACGTTATATCGTCTAACAATATTTCTCACGCTGTACCGCGATAAGTCTAACAAAGTTGCAATTTGTCAGTTTGATTTCCCAAAATTAAAAAATTTAATTATCAGTAACCAAATTTTCTCACTAATAACCTTTCCTCTACCCATTTTGAAAACCTTAACTACCCAAAACTATTTTAAACGTATTCTAACAGCTGTGATTAATAAAAACAACTGTCATGGCTTGTATTTTTCACAGCCACCTTTGCATTATAGACATATTTTGCATTGAAATGAAAATAGGTTGATATGCTGTAATTGCAACATGTGTTATTTTTATGCTGCACATTTGATTAGGAAGTGATAAAGTTGGTGTTTTCTACTATATATTATCAAAATTTTCATTGTTAATATTTTAAATCTATAACACCCTGTTACTTTTTTATTATTTGTGTTTGATAAGAAAAAAAACTAAGAATTCAATAGTTGGGCCAACTGAAGTGGGAAGGGGCTCGTACTATCTTAGGAAGAATGTTATCATAATAAAAAGTAGTAGTAGCCTCTTCATCTTCCTTTTCCAAAAATGATCATTCCTTGGAATCTAAAAACATTATGAAATTAGTATTAGAACAGTAGCTTAGGTGCGGTAACTTACCTTCTGTAGAAGTATTCCTTCAGTAGACCCTATTACAAAGTAACAATGCTTCTTATTCGATATGTGGAATAATAATTATGATTTTGTATTGTTTCCAATATGTTACTTTCTTTTTATGATTACACACTTGCTGGTATTCTGCTCTTTGGCATCTACTGAGTGTAGTGCTGATGCCCTTTTGGGACACTTGATTTCAATAATGCCGTCATCCCCAATAAGACTCTCTGCCATGTAGAGATAATAACATAAATTAAAACAATAACAGAGACTTCTTTTTCAATCGAAGCTTCTGAATCGTAAATATGTTAGTACAGATCTTTTGCGCTTTATACGAGTTTTCATTCAATTATCCAGTCACAATTTCCATGAATTATTACTTTACTATACAAGAAGGGAAAAAGTAAGCGTATTCAAATACTCTTAACGAAATTATCGCTCAATGGGATATCTAGAATACGAAAACAGGTAGTTACCTTCAGATTTAAATTTTCCTCGAATTTCCTAATGGCGACTGGTTCATGATCAGTGCCATATTTTGTGCTACTGCTGCCACTGGAATATAAAATAGGTTTAATTTTTTCAGATTTTTTCAGCGCGGGATGTTATCCTCATTTTACAGATTTCAATAATTTTTTGGACAATCGGAAAGGCTTTGTTTGCTTGTTGAAGATTTATTAAGCATTAATGCTACAATGTCAATTTTGTATAATTATTCGCTTACACATTTTATTTGAATCCGTTTCTGTAATTTTACATTCGTGTCTATTAAAATTAAATCAATATGCATTTTGAGTATTCATGAAGTGATTTTTTATTTTTAACTTGAACATTTTTAAATTCGAAGACTGTTTAACATCATTATTCAACTTATTGAATCCAAATACCCCCTTTTGAAATATAGATTTGCTGGTTACGCTACTATTACAATTTTGTAGGTGAGAATTTGTACTGCCTCTTGTTTCGTAGTTATAGTATAATAATCACCTTTTAATTTTGTGAAGTGTTCTAAATGTGGTGGTTATAAATGATTTTTTAATTTAAATAAGAAAATGAGAACTAAATAACATATGAAGTTTTTTTACATTCAATCACTGTAGTTCTTCTAACATAGACTTAATCCTAGCATATTTGTTTTTATCCAAAATGATTCTTACAGGTTTATTTTGTAGAATTTGTAATTTTGAAAATATGTTTTCATTTGCTGTAAACAAGATGGTTGAACGATATAATAAATGGGGAAGAATTATAGTGTTATTGGAAGTAATTTTTATCTTTTTTGATATTTTTGAAATAATGCTCTTAAAAAGTAGTTTACTATCCACATAATATACCCAGATATTTGAATGGTTCGGCTACTTCAATTTTCTCATCATTAATCTTGAGCCTAATTGTATTGTCACCCAAATGTTTTCCTACTGACACTAATTTTGTTTATTAGTATTTAATTTAAGCTTATTAGCATTTAACCAATTCATATTTTTTAATAGTTCTAAAGCAGTGACCAAATCTGTATGTGCTCACAATGTTGAACTTTTGACACAGGAGGAATGGTGGAACACTGTAATTTCGATGTAAATTCACCATTCACTAAACAATGATTCACCAATAATAATAATGTATCTCCAATTATATTGAAACAATCATTTACGATTTTTTTTTTGAGAGATTCTCACTTAGATTTTTATTAGATTTCAATTCTGATATAGCTTTTCTTAGATTGTGGATGTTTATTATGTTAAATTGATTCATTGATGAATTATGATATACTTGTAATGAACATCAGTCTGGACCATAATCATCAATCGTCTTCACTATTTGATTTACACTATCTATAAAATAAGTGTTCATTCTTTCTGCTATAAGTATTTTATTCAGATTTTCTATTTGGAGAATTTTAGAATTATTTTTATGTGTGATCCCAACTACTCAACTATTTTGACTTGAACGTTTTAAAAACTAATTATTTTGGCTATATCTAATCCCAATTAAATTATTGTATTATTTGTTGGGGGTAACAACAGTCCCGTTAACACGTTCACTGCGAAAGACGCTGATCCGCGTCCAACCGATGTTTAACGAAAGGCGGCGGGCGCGGATCCGCGCTTCTGGCTGATATAAACTCACAAGACTGTGGTGTTGTCAGTTTGTACCTCACTCGCTTTCTGTTGGGTCACCTACATATTGAACATCTTTTTGGACTATTTTACGCGTAGGATCAAGTTTCGTTTATTTTTACATTGCGGAATGGCGGATGATGTGGAAGCAGGTTGTTCACGTCCAAAACGAGTGAAAACATATTGTAACCGTAATAAAGGGCTTACAGAAAAAGAACTGTATGATATTCTTGCCAATTCGGGGAGTGAAATCGAGAATCTAAGTGACTCGGACAATTATGTTCCCAGTTCAGATGGAAGTGAGCAGTCTGATGGAAATATGTCTGAAACGAGTGATGATTTTTCCAGCCCACAGAAAAATCTTTAATAGGGTTTCAAGACATGCTTCGTGTTACCGCACGAAAAAAAACGAGATAGAAGAAGAAAATGTATATATGAAATAGTTTTCAATTACACAACGCACATCCAATAGGCTTACGACGCGAATCCGCGCTTCGCTTGTGCAGCGCCTAAAATCGTTTAGCCGCTACCGTGCGCGCGGCGCGAGGCAGGTCGCAGTGAACGTGTTAAAGTATATTAGGTATTCAGAAAAAGATCATCAGGACAATGCATTTCAAAAATAAGCTTCATTATTGACCTTTGTTACAGGTGCTTGTATGTATAGCAACCAAGCTCATAATGGGAGTATAACATCTTTAACTTACTCTGCCAGTTACGTCATTTCAATGGGAACAGACGAAAGGTTATGTGTTTGGGAAAGATTTCAAGGTAACGTAATAGTTTTTTATTCTACCATTAGGGTCATAACATAACAAAACAGTCCATTAAATATAATGAGAATGAACCTTAACATCAATTCGTCAAATATTTTTCAACCAAAGGCATTGGCGTACCGGAAACAAAATATTGTCAGAGTATGAGATGACAGTGTGTCATTGAAATGTCACAATTTTATCGAATCTTAAGATGTTAGTTGAAATTCAGTCAAAATTTTCAATAATGTGCGATTTATGAATATATGTTTTTTCAGTTTTGCTGGTGGTCTATTCATGATGTCTATTTCAATAGGCTACTTTACTCTAATCTAATTTTATAGAATAAATATTTATGTCTTACAGTATTTGCCTTAGGAAAACGAAATATATCGATTTCTATTTTTAAAAGCGTAAGATGGATATTTAAATCCATTTAAAAAATAAAATATTTTGGTGGCCAATCATTGTCACCTCCCCTCGGTATCACCTTTCCAGGGAGCATTTCCTGTACAACACACATGCTCGCGTTGGACGTGTGACAGATGGCACCGTCCTGTTGAAACCACGTCATGGAGTTCATGTATCCATCATAATCTTTTATTTAGGGCCAAAAACTATCTCGGCATTGGAACATAACGTTCTGAATTAACGGTTATAGATTGGGGATTCCGTATACAAATTTTTTTGGCCTAAATTTTAGGTTAGGAACAAGATATCGAGATGCAGTTTTCGCGAGCTTGTTTAGACACCATTTAGCTACTTTTTCTTAAAAAAAAATCATACCAATGCATTTAATTTTTTGAGAAAACTAACCATTTATGTCCGAATGTCAAAAAAAGTTATCTAGCGGCCACATGTGAAGTTAACTAAACTTCAAATATTATTTGTAGCTCAAGAATAGCTCTTTTCAACTAGCCCAATTTTGTTAAAATCGGCTCAGCCGTTTCAAAGATACAATACACATAGCCATGTGTCAACAAAACAGCACATCGTGAACAATATACAGGGTGGCCAAACACGTGACGTCATAAAAAAAAATTGGATTCTCCACATCGAGAGGAACCCAAATCACCCCCATATATATGGTCCGATTTTGTTTAGTTTAGGAGTTATGATTTTTTTTCGGATTTTTCGAGAATTTTTGAGTTCTGTGTTTATTTTTACCATAACTTCGTTAATAATTGTGATAAATGCCTGCTTTTTTCACGATTATGTAGCTAAGACCTAAGGCTTAACTATCATATAATCATTCAAGTCATGTAACTAATACTACTTTTTAATTTTTTTAAAAATCTTCGAACATAACAAAAAAGTAAAAAAGTGCAACAACTTTGAACGTTTATAAAAAATTGAAAAAACATGTTCTTACTATTCGTAAGTATCTTAAAAACTTCCTTACGGTATCAGCTATTCACCGTAAAAATTTCATCAACCTAGCTTTACTACATGCTACCGTAATTGTGGCTCAAATAGAACCGAACCCAAAATTGGATAACCCTCTGCTCAATAGAAATTGTTAGTTTCGGAAAAAAAAATTGCAAAAACCACAAAAACACGTTTGATTTTTACTGAACAGCAGATTATTATTCATTTATGTTATTTACAAGAGGTTTTCAAAATGTCTGCCTCTAACAGAAATGCACAGTGTACACCTACGTATGAAATTTTGTTTTAAATCTCTAAATGCTTGTGTGTTGTTCTTCAACACATGTGTCGCTTCTTGAATTTTGTTCCTCAATGAATTTTCATTTGCACATTCTTGGGCGAATGTTATGTCTTTAAAATATCCCCAAACAAAAAAATCAATGGGGTTGAGGTCAGGGGAGCGTGGAGGCCATCGTATCGGTCCGTTTCGTCCGATCCATCTGTCTGGGAACCTTTCGTTTAAGTAGTTTCGCACGATCGTTGCGTTGTGGCATGGTGCACCATCATTCTGGAACACCATGTTCCGTCTGGCTTCCAGGCTTGAATCTTCCAGCAATAATGGTAGGCTATTTTCAAGGAAGCTTTTGTAGGCTACCGAATCCAACCTTGACGGCAGTTCAAATGGACCGATAAATTCCATATTGAATATTCCTGACCACATGTTCACACTAAAACGGTGTTGAAATGTCGACGGCCTTGACTGGTGGGGGTTTTCAACAGCCCAAGTATGTAAATTATGGATATTGAATATCCCTGTTCTTTCAAAACGTGACTCGTAAGTCCATAAAATTTTATCAAAAAAATCGGGATCCTCTCGTTGTCTTCGCAGCATTGTCTCGCAGAAATCCACTCTTAACTGGTAATCTGAAGGCATCAACGCTTGAACTCTTTGAACATGATAGGCATGATAACCTTCTTCATGAAGAATATTTTGTATCGATGTTCGTGGTATTCTAAGGTTTTGTGCCATAGATCTCGTACTCGTTGAGGGATTCCGGCTAATTTCTTCAAGTACTACTTCTCTGCGATCCGGATCAGCTGTAGGATATCCTTCATTGCTTCCTCGTCCTGGAATGCGGCCTGCCATGAAAGTGTTATGTGTGTTAATAAAAACACGGTGGTCTGGGTAATGCTCAGGTTGTGGTCCGCCTCAACCCCATTGATTTTTTTGTTTGGCGATATTTTAAAGACATAACATTCGCCCAAGAATGTGCAAATGAAAATTCATTGAGGAACAAAATTCAAGAAGCGACACATGTGTTGAAAAACAACACACAAGCATTTAGAGATTTAAAACAAAATTTCATACGTAGGTGTACACTGTGCATTTCTGTTAGAGGCAGACATTTTGAAAACCTCTTGTAAATAACATAAATGAATAATAATCTACTGTTCAGTAAAAATCAAACGTGTTTTTGTGGTTTTTGCAAATTTTTTTTCCGAAACTAACAATTTCTATTGAGCAGAGGGTTATCCAATTTTGGGTTCGGTTCTATTTGAGCCACAATTACGGTAGCATGTAGTAAAGCTAGGTTGATGAAATTTTTACGGTAAATAGCTGATACCGTAAGGAAGTTTTTAAGATACTTACGAATAGTAAGAACATGTTTTTTCAATATTTTATAAACGTTCAAAGTTGTTGCACTTTTTTACTTTTTTGTTATGTTCGAAGATTTTGAAAAAAATTAAAAAGTAGTATTAGTTACATGACTTGAATGATTATATGATAGTTAAGCCTTAGGTCTTAGCTACATAATCGTGAAAAAAGCAGGCATTTATCACAATTATTAACGAAGTTATGGTAAAAATAAACACAGAACTCAAAAATTCTCGAAAAATCCGAAAAAAAATCATAACTCCTAAACTAAACAAAATCGGACCATATATATGGGGGTGATTTGGGTTCCTCTCGATGTGGGGAATCTAATTTTTTTTATGACGTCACGTGTTTGGCCACCCTGTATACTCGTATAATATTAACACGTTTTTCTGTATAAATGATATTGCTACTGAATGATTCTTTTTCTTTTCAGGTCACCTTTTGAACACCATCTCGATTCCACAGATCTTTTCCAACCAGATCCTGATGCTGGCGCAGCACTTGGTGATCATCGCGCGTAGTGGAGGCCTCGTAATATGGGACGTACGCACTGGCGATTGTGTCCGTACCATCACTTTAGGGCGAGCTCCTTTTGTATTCATAAAACAAATGTTACTGCTGCGTGATGCTGTCCTGTGCGATTACGGAAAGCAGCTGCGGATTGTTCGATTCCCACTCATAACGCATAAATTCGATTGAAAATGTTTTATTGGGTAAATTAAGAAGCCTGCACTGTCAGATGTGTTGTTGAAAAGTCATAGCTGTCGTTTTTGGCATCAAGCAGAAAGGTATGAAATTGTAACTGACTCAGAATAATTGCAGATGTCGATATGGCTGGTGAGATATCGTAAAAGCATTATGCTCTTAACTTGGAGAACAGGCCACATCTTTTTGATATTATTGGCGTCGGGTACGTCCTGGCGGACAGAAAGTGTGTTACATTGAGACTTGTATGTTCGGCTCCATACATAAAGTTGCGACCGATTTATTTTATTTCTGAAAAGGTTAATAGTTGTTCATGTTAATTATTGATAACACATAATATATGGTAGCTTCTATCGCTATGATAAGCTGTCATCGAAGACTCCAAACGTACCTTAGTTGAAGGAGAAGTAGTATCTCAAGCAGGTCACATAACAGCATACATTATCAGTTTTACTTATGAAATTGCTATTAATATAATTTCTAACTATATCCAATACTCACATTTGTTGCAAAAGTCCTATGAAATTTTTATCACACTTTTCTTTTGACCAAACATTAAGGGACTTTTACACAAATGCTATAAAAGGCTGTAAGCATTTACTTACACGCACATAATTATATACCCACGAGGCCACCTTTATGGTCTCCTTGATTTTCATAGTTTTTCCTGTCCTTCAAAAAAGCGCTCTATTTTGAGGTTATGTTACAAATATCTATTCGCATCAAATTGTTCATGCTTTTTATTTGTATCATCTGATTTATCAGCCTGAAGTTTCCTACACTTCAAAAAGGAAACATAACCAGGAGAGCACAGACACGGAAGAGTAGAAATCTAGAAATACCCCAGCCTTTCTGAAGGATAGAAAAAAAATCATACAATCGGAGGGCTTTTTGCAGAAAGGAACCAACTCAGAAAAACAGTTATTGAGCTTTAAAGTTTTGACAATGATAACATTTATTTCAGACCAAACACGATTTTAATTAACCCTTTCTTTCCCAAATTTAATTTTGAAAAATAATATATTTTTTTTATATCCCAGATGACTAATGATGGTTCGAGGAATGATGTGCTGAATGATTTTATTTTTTTGTATTTTGATTTTGCCAAATTTTTGATAACTCCATATGGAGTCATCGGGAAAATGAGTATAATGAATAAGGGAATGATACAAATATAGGTGTTTACAAACGGAATCTGAAACTGATACATACTAAAACATAGAGAAACATTTTATTCTATAAATACACCTTTGATTTAGCCTAGTTATGGGAGATGGAATTCTTTGAAACAGTTCCTGTCTTTTGTTAGGCATAACGCCATTTTGCACTTCACAAGCCACTCTTGTGTACGCGTGACATTTGCGGCACCTCAGTTTTGGGTTCTATATGGGTCGGCCAATGATTTTTTTGATCGAACCGAATATCTTCTATCGGCTTAGGGGCAACGTTTCTTGTTGTTTTCTTCATTGGGGGTGTTCCTTCTCGCGATGATGGCCTTCCTCTTCTTTTTTTGGATGGTACAGGTGTTCAGTAAAGCATGGCCTATTTCACTTCGGAAAGTAATAAGCCTTCTGTAGTTGGTAATACCAAGTCTTTTACAGTGGCGTCTATATAGTAGCCAAGCATTTACTATACATATATCTAGTAGGTGATAGAATATTCGCAAATAGTATCGCTTGACTCCAATGTTTGTTCTATAGAGGGCAACAAGCATGTCGTTGAGATCCACCCCACCCATATTGCTATTATATATTTTTATAATACTAGGCCTGGGTATTTCAATATAACTTTTTTCGCTCTGAGACCATCTTTTCACTGAAGTTACTGGCTCTACTCCTGAACATGCAGAGAGCACAGTAACAGATTTATTATCAAACCACTTGACTGCTACAATATTACTTGAAACTTCAGTAGCGAAATCATATGCACCTCTCCCATCCCTTTTCAATTCTTTCTCGTCCAGTAGTTTTAGTCCTTTCAGTCTGTTGGACCGGACAGTTCCAATACAGAGGATACCTACTGACTTTAGATGTTGCACTAACTGGAGGGAAGTAAAAAAGTTGTCAGTACATATTTTGAAATTTTTGTGCTTCGGTAAGTGTTCTGTTAGTTGCACAACAACATTTCCACTCATTCCCAGTTCTTTATTATCTGTTGGCATAACGGTGTATTTTCCTACATATACATCAAATTCGTAAATGATTCCACTGACGCCTGCTTATTTTTGATGTATTGTTTCAGGGAGCTATGTCCTTTGAAGGGAATCATTATTTCGTCCACCGAACTGAACTCTTCGGGTTTTGTCTTCGCAAAATTTTTTTTCATTGCATCTATATACGGTCTGACTTCTTACTGGGCAATCAAACAACCACGAGCAACATTCGAGTTTAAATTCACTTGCTTGTGCTTGTTTGAAGTTGTACACGTATTCTGTATTGAACTTCTTAAACTTAAGTTTAGAAAGTCCATTCAGGTCAATACAGTCGTCAATGCCAACCATAGCGCTAACTGAATAAACAGTTTTGCTGGTTTGTTCGTCGGCTAAGGTTGCTTTAATGCTTGTAACCTTTGTACTGCATATGCTTGCATTGGTTTCAGTCACATAGAAGACTCCGATGAGGATCAACACAGCCCAAAATACTCCAATCTGTGATAGCAGTTTCAGCAGCACGATTGCAGTAGCCATAGTTACTAGAATAGTGAAAGGCCTTATTCGTGAGAACAAAGAAACTTTCTCTATAAAAAAAATTTTTGCATAACTATGGTCACACATAAAGATCCTGCTCCTAAAGCCAACAACAGATTTTGTGCTCATCAACTTCTTATTAAAACAAGCGAACTCATCAACATCAAAGATTCTCTTTCCCTGTAATCTAAGTTCGTCACAAACTAAGATAACAAGGTCATCATACACGCGTATGAAACAGGTGGTATCCTTTGATGAGAAATAATCGTTTGTAATATTCTGATAATTGTTTCGCACCAAGATCTTGAATAGTGGTATTAGACAATTCCTCGTCATGGGTTGTCATAGTTAGGATGTCAACGAATCAACGAATTGTCGTTTATATGAAGATAGGAGCGTAGCTTTTCAAACCGATTTCTTGGCATTACATCAGCAATCACAGGATATCTAGTTTCCCGACTCCAATAAAGTCGATAGCTTGGCATGTGAACAATACCGCTAATTATGTGCATCCCTAGGAAATGACAGATTTCGTCATAATTCGTGTCTACAGATGTTCCCATTTTTTGAACAGAGTAAAGATTGATCTGGAGTACTAGATTTTCAATAATTGCATCATCAAAAAACGTCTTGAAGTATTCCAAAGAGGAACCTATTTTTTCCACACTAGTGAAGTAGATGTTACATTCTGACGAAACTGGGTGAATATCACGTTTTTCCCATTTTATTGGAACAGGGGTAGTTTTCGATGAGCCTGTATTTCGAAGCCTCGATGCAAGCTGTTCCAGAGGTAAATCATCTTCGTTGTCTTCAGATTGAGTGGCATCATTTTCTTGGATCTCTAATGATATATTTCCCATATCAGTTTGAAGCAGAACGTTTTCAGTATCTATGCAATCAGATACGTATTCTCTCAAAGGAAGGCTTGTAATATGATCCTTGTACTCATCATCATCTTCCTCATTGATCTCGATATCAGATAAGTCGCCTTCTAGTAGAAGAAGCAAATGCTTCTCTTCTTCAGTAAGACATACCCGTGACATCTAGAAAAGGAAGTGACGTAAATGGGTATCCTATTCCCAATGACGCCAAACGGCGTCATCATTTCAAAGGCTTCTCATATGTGAAAAAAGTAAATACACAATTCTATATCATTGGAACTCATTGAAAAGCCTTGTTAGTTCTATAAAAAAATAATTATCATTAAATGAACAAATGCTTACCTTTGAATCCCACTGTATATTGCTGAATTGAACACGTTGATTCAAGCAAGTTACATTTAACCTCAAAAACATTCTATGGGCCGCTCAAATTGGTATGTGGTCATCCAGGCGCCATCTATGTAGTACCGACGTTATCAGGGACCACGGTATTGTAGATTTCTATTCATACTTACATCTGAGAACATTATTCAATTTTCATGGCTCCATTTGGCATCAGTGGGAAAGAAAGGGTTAATGGGATACTAAAACCTTTATATATGTGAATGAATATTTTCTACAGTAAATGGTATTGCTCGTAATAGTTTATTTTCCTAAACTCTAAATTTTTTATATTTAGTGGGTTGGCTCCTTTCTGCAAAAAAGCCGTCGAATTGTAGGAACGACTGACGATAGGGTCCTTAGTCTAATGTTTATTTATTGATACAAAATGTCCTCAAAGTTGGCGTATAGATCTTGGAAAAATGAACGTTTTCTTAGTAACATATACACCAAAGACTTAAGATTGTCGAGGTGTTAGGCTCCGTGAAATAGATCAAACCTAATCAGATCAAACGTGAACACGTTCGATGCGCATCAGGGCTCGTATTTTCGAAAAATGGAAAAAACACGTTGCTTTTAACAAGAAGCATGAGTGATGGTGGCTTCGCACCTGTACGAATGTTTTATGTTAAAAAAATATTTCTTTGCATTGTATTTGTTCGATTTCTTTCACAGGAAAAAATTAGATGTCCGAATGGTATTTGACAAGACTATTTCAAGAGTAACAGTTTACTCTGCATACACATATAGCATACAAAACATACTACCGTAAAAGCCCCTATCTTCGGACAAAATTTGGAATATTTTCTCAATATTGAATATTTTAATGTGACTATTACTATTCTGGCTATAAAAACATTGCCAGTGCTATGGAATCAGTCAAAGTGTATAACCTGCCTATAAATATGTCAGTGAGGTATGAATAAAAAAAAATAAAAATAGTTGTCCGAAGTTAGGATATATTTTCCGTAATTTCGGACATGGACGTTTTACTGCAAAATTGAATAAAAAACTCGATTTGGACACTTAGGAAACACTGTGACCAACTTCATAAAATATATTAATTGTTGTCCTAACTTAGGACATACGGTTTTCAATGTATTTTAGAATGAATCATTCAAAATTTTATTTTTTTCGGACACTTAGGAAAAAATGCACATAATATAACTGAAAAAGTGATTCATTCCAAGGAACTAGCTACAAACTACGTAAACAAATAGGTAGAAAATGTTATAGAAAAAACACATCGAGAACTTTAAAAAATCTACAATACTCGTGTCAAGTCTTCCGAAAGTCTAAAAATTCCTCTCCATTCTGTCGGTGTCCCAGGAACAGCGCAAATGTCCTCCTGAATCACGTCGTTAAGGTCCTCGACAAGTGGGTATACAAAAGACTCTGAGTTCTTTCATCGCAGACAACTTATCTGTAGCTTGGACCCATCAGAATTTAACGATCAAACGAACTTACCTGAAGTTCGATCGTAATTATATCGATCGTCCATTCCGAAGATGTATTTAACTAAGGTAGTACGCTCATGCGTACTGCGCGCCACACATTTTTAAGATGAATAGTAGCGCGAGCGCGGATATGTTCTTCCCGCTCGCCGCCGTCCGCTGTAACTGCCTCCCCGTTTCATTCCTTCAAAGATTGTTTTTCAATGCATATGAGCAGGGTGAAAAGCCACTGCATTTCAGGGAGGGGGGGTTTCTACATCTTCGGAATGGACGATCGATATAATTACGATCGAACTTCAGGTAAGTTCGTTTGATCGTTAAATTATATCTCACGTCCATTCCGAAGATGTATTTAACTAAGGTAGATGTTCAAAGATACAAACCACAAACATATGCATTGATGTTTTATATACGAAATAAGTTGAACAAAACTGCTATCATAGCAAAAGTAAAATAAGGTGAAAATATTCTAATTTATACTCGTTGAGAGTATCGTGTTTGCAAAGTCATCATCCGCTTGTAGTGGTCGGTCGTAGAACCTTGCAAAGGTTGCCGTCTTCTGAGACCAGCCTGCAGTTTTACAAATAGTGTCTACCGACAGCCCTGCCCTACGGACTGCTGACGTTGCTGCGTGCCTAGTTGAATGAGGTTTAAATACAGTCGTATTTACTCCCGATGACATAAGTGTCTGTTTTACCCAACGGGCAAGGGTTTGCTTTGTTGCTTTTTTATGGGGTTTTACATAAGTTAAAAATAAGAAATCTTCATTATTTCGGATTTCTTTCGTTGACTCTAAGTACTGCAGCACTGTTGAGGCTGGGCATATGTTGGGATTTGGTGTGAAGAACGGGAGACTCAGAAAAGGCTGATCATTGAGGCTAAGTGACGTCTTTACTGGGTCCGTAATCATTATTTGTAATCTGGTTTCGTCTCTGTGAATGTTTGATACCCGGATTAAAGAGATCGTTTGAAGGCGGCCACCTGTTACCAGTGAAAGTAGGGTCACCAGTTTGTGGGTGAGGCTTTTAAGTTGGTTGTTAGGGAGATTTCCTAATGCTGTAAGAACTGGTTGAGGATCCCACGTGAACCTATACCTGGGGTTCATTGGTCGTCTTCTGGCTACCCCTTTCATGAACCGTTTTATCAGGGGGTGTGAACCTAGGCTATCGGAGGATATAAGGGAGATCGCAGATCTGTGGCTGTTTAAACTTCCATAATTTAGTTCAGTTGTATTGATAATGTTCTGAAGGAATTCTATTACCTGCAGGACGTTTGCCTGAAATACTGGTATCTGCTTCTCTTCACAGTACTTATACCATAGACGGTAAGTACACGCATACTGGCTGATCGTAGCTGTCGATATTGAATCGATTATGGTCTCTACCGCCTCATCCGATATTCCTCTCAGTTGAAACCCCTGCCGGATAATTTCGCGGCCACTAATGTTAATCTGTTGGCCAGAGGGTGGGTTGAACTGAAAGGAGAAGTCAGAAGATTATCGTCAGGTCCAAAAGTAACAGATCTTCCAACTTGTAGTTTCTCTACAAGCGGATACCATGCCTGGGCACGCCAGTCTGGTACTACTACAATTCCCTCAGCTTTATCCTGGATAATTTTTTGTAACACCTTCAATATTAAGCAAAATGGGGGGAATGCATAAAAATAAATATCGGTCCAGCTAATAGTAAAAGCATCAACTGCGACCGAATCCGGATCTTTCCTCCATGATACATATCGTCGACATTTGTGATTTATTTTTGAGGCAAAAAGGTCAACGTCAGGAGATCCGAATTCGTGTTTTAAAACATCGAATGCTGAATCTGCCAGAGACCATTCTGTTTCGGTTGAGACTACTCTGGACTCCCTGTCTGCGTCCAGATTGTCCTTTGTGTTGACGTATGAAGCGAATACCCAAATATTTCTGGCTTGACACCATTCCCAGATGTCTCGCGTTCTGTTGTTGAGCTTGGTAGATGGTATACTGCCCAAACGGTTGATGCAAGATATTGCCGTCGTGTTATCTGATCTAATCAGAATACTGCAGTTCCTTGCATCCCGGGCGAAACATTTTAAGCCATAAAGAATAGCTGTAAGTTCTAAGTAATTTATATGATTATCTTTTTCTGGATTGGACCAAAACCCATGGGTTTTGTCGTGTCCTCTACATGCACCCCACCCAGTCAGTGAGGCATCTGTGAATATTGTCATACTATAGCCTGTCTGTTTAATATCGGCTTCCGCATTTAAGATGTTTCGCTCCCACCAGATTAGGTCATTATCTATAAAGTTATGTGGTAAGACTACTATACAATTATAGTTGTAGTTGTTCGCTTCTAGAGCTGAGCACTTTAGTTGTTCCAAACGCTTGGTGTACAACCAGCCGTACTTAACCGCAGGGCAGGCTGCGGTTAAGGTGCCTATGAACTGTGCAAGTTCTCTTATACTGCATGTATCCCTTTTTCGGAAAGACGTTGACATGTTTTTAATGGACTTTTTCTTTTCCGACGGTAGGGATATTTTCATATTTTTGGTGTCGTATTGAAATCCTAAAAATATTTTTCTCTGTTCTGGGGTCAACGAACTTTTTTCAAAGTTTATGATGAAACCTATGGACTGTAATGTGTTTACCACAATTTTTGTGTGTTCCCTACATTTTTCAGACGAGTCACTGATGACTAGGAAATCGTCTAAATATTTGACCAACAGAATCCCTTGAGTACGCAGGTTTTCCAGGACGGGTCGCATTATTTTTGTGAAACAGTACGGTGCTGACGAGAGACCAAATGGTAAGCAATTGAATTCAAATGTATTAGAATTAAACCTGAACCTCAAATACTTCCTAAATGATTTGTCTATTGATATTAGGAAGTATGCGTCTTTTAGATCGATGGTTGCCATCCAGTATTGCTTTTGCAATAGTTTTAGTACTGTCCGAAAATCTTCCATTTTGAAATGCTCGTATTTCACGAATTCATTAAATTTTTTCAAATTTAAAATGAACCGTTTCTTTCCGTTGGATTTTTCAGTTAGGAAGTAAGTTGAAACGTACTGGTCTTTCCTCTCCGTACATGATGATACTGCTCCGATATCTAGTAGCTCCCTGATTGCCAAGGCAATCAAAGGGTCGCACTGAGTGTGGGCGGTTTGATTCTGTTTCTGAACAGGTGTTGCTAAGAGAGGGATCTTATATCCCTTAATCCAGGATAGAACTGTGGAATTGTTCGTTATACATTTCCAAGACTCGACAAAATGGGATAGTCTGCCCGCTAGCTTAGAATGACTTACCTTTATTGGTATCTGCTCCCTGGGGGGCGACTTTGCTTGGAGGTTTGCCCTTTCCTCGGCCCCGAGTCCCTCCCTGACTGGCGAGGCGGGCGTTGCCTGTTTAAAGACGGGCGGTAGCTAGTCGCTTTATATGGAGTACGAGCATTGTATGCAGTTTTGGAGGTACCATGCTGGCGCTGAGAGGTGTGCCCCCCCCCCTCTTCTGATGCCGGATGGCCCTGCCTGGTTGCTATAACCGTCTTGTCTTAAGTCGTTCCCAGCTTTTTCTGCAATTTTTGCCATTTTAATCTTTTCTGCCAAATCGGTGCCGTATAGATATTCCCCCGGAATAGTCTCTTTGATGGTATCTTTCACCGATTTGGAGAGAAGTTGTGAAATATATTCCCTACGGGTCGTCGAGATCTCATGGAATAGATGGGTCATGAATGTGCCCACATCTGCTAGATGTGGTAGCAAGTGCATTTTTAGATCAGAATCAACATTATTCTTGATTTCATTGATGACATAATTCATGCATTTGCCAAGCGCACTTGTACTTTTTCCCACCAATAGCTGATATCTTGCATGGCATTTGTCCCTCTTAACATATGCTTGAGAAAGAATGTGAGCAACTTCCGGGTTGACTTTTGGAGGATCAAGAGTAGGAAAATTATTGGGAGGCCTATGGCGATCCAAAATTTGATCCATATTTTCCTTTCCTATGCCTTGGGCTATTGTTTGTGACCAAACTTGTCTTATAGCATCATTGAGATGATAGGACTGTTTTGTTTCTGTGTCAGTGTCAATGCCTAATACCTCTTTAATGCACTCTGGAAGTTGCTCCGCCTCATTCTCAGTGTTTTCAGCTTGTAAATTTATGTCGTCTTGGAGTACGAGTGTCTAGGTCATCCAGTTCCGGATGATCTTGGTTTATAGCCGGACAGTTCGATGCCGGGCTTCTACCACTGGTGACACTCGCCGAGTCGTACGAGGCTCGGCTCATGCTACGTCGGTCTATTTTTTCTTTTGAAAATCGTGAAGAAGTCGGGCTGTTCAAAACCCGACGCTCTCTCGATGTATTTCTAAGATTTTGGTATCGATTGGAAGTTGGGCTGTGCGAAACCCGACGTTCTCTCGATGAATTCCTAGAGTATTGATATTCGGAAGTCGGTTTGTCCAAAGTTCGACGTTTCCGAGTCGTATAATTGTGGTTACGATCCTCCGAATCTGGCACCCCCCTTCTTTTTATCGAAGTACGGTCCTGTACTAAGGATCGACTGCGCGAACTAGAGCGGGGCCTCCTCGGAGAAATGCTTCGACTGTGCCGACGTGAATGGGACCTACGATCTCGCTCCTGCCTGTTTAGTCTATCGCGAAGCTCATTAATTGTTTTTTGTAAGTCTCTACGCGATAGTTTGTCGCTGGATCGGCTTCTCTTGCGTTTCCCCATGCTGTAAAACAAGCCCTGTGGAGAAATAGTTGCTCACCAGAACGATTTTAACGTGATTAGTATATAATAGTTCACTTTCTCGAATTAACATTAAATGCACAGCAAATAAACTAGGAAGCCTTGTTCGTGAAATTGAGAAAATGCAAAAGAAAAATCTGGGACTGTGCCAATAAAATTATCATTATTTCGTATTATCCTGATGTAACAGAACATTCTATGAATGTCGTGAATAGCAAAATAATACTATCATACCTGTACTATTGGTTTTTCGTCTGTTGCGGAGCCGGGCACTGAAACTACACGTGTGGACGCGACGCACACATAAAAGCGAATGAAACGGGGAGGCAGTTACAGCGGACGGCGGCGAGCGGGAAGAACATATCCGCGCTCGCGCTACTATTCATCTTAAAAATGTGTGGCGCGCAGTACGCATGAGCGTACTACCTTAGTTAAATACATCTTCGGAATGGACGTGAGATATAATTGAGAATTTTGGCGACGAACTTCTCGAATTGGTGTTTTGAATGTTTGTTATACATAAAAGTGTAAAATACAAATGTACCGTTTTCAATAATATTGTTAGCGTGAATAATAGCAACGCCATTTTTTTGCTGCTGTAGTGTAGATAAAGGAACGTCCCACTCACTGTCATCATCTTCATCGCGTTCTAAATTCAAGTCATTTTCCAGATGGTTGTCACTTTCTTTCAAATCAAGTACATCTTGGTCCACATTTTCTTGATGTGTACTTCCATCCTTATTTACTTCTTCGTCCTTATTTTCCATGGCAGCTATAGCCTTGCCAGTTGGATCGTTCAGCTTCTTTCTTTTAAACCGTTTAGGTGCGGTTTCACACCATTTTGAAGAATTTTCTGCGGTCTGATGTTCAGAAGTTGTGGATAGTCGCTTTAGAACTTGACTAGAGTCTAAAGGAAATATACCAGATGCACGGAAACCATATTTAATATTTTTCTCTTCTGACTCACTAATAGCATCCACCTCCACCGTCTTTTTAAGCAGCAATGGGAAATATTCTTTTGGAATTGTTCCGCGGTGGCGTTTTTTCCATTCGAGAAGAGTATTTCTCCAAGCTCTTTTTAGCGGACGAAAGTATGAAACGTCCAGTGGTTGGCACAGGTGGGTCGGGAGATCTACTTTGATCAGCGGTATTGCTTTGCCAGTCCTCCTGCTGGTCATTCTGTTCACCTTCTTTGGGTGGAAACCTTGCCTAACCAAGTCTTCTCCGATCTCTTGGCAGGTGGTGATTGTTGGCATCCCCCTTATAACCACTCCCAGAGGCTTGTCTTCTGGAAGGGAGTAAGTGTGGTGCTCTATATTTGCATCTTCCAGTGTCTTTCGAATCTTCCTGTAGTCCTCACTGTCCTTTGGTTGGACCTTGATACCTGCTCCGGTTAACCGTGCAGGCTTCTCAATTGTGAGCATCTTCTTGCTCACTACTTCCTTCCACTGTTCTTCCCTATGGATATACAGCGGCGGTGGCCTCTTTTCCTTTTTCTTTGTCTCCGTCTGTGTGGGGGTAGGGGTGGAGGACTGGTCCATCATTTGTATTTCTGCAGATGTTTTTGTTGCAGATGTTGTAGCCGGGTTGTGTCGAGGTGCCTTTTTCTTTGGGGCATCTTCTTTTCTTCCATCTTCTGAGGAGGTGCTGTGCCTCCTCTTTTCTTTCTTTTGGTTTTCCTCCAAAACCATCTTTTCTTTGGGGGCATCGACCTCGATGCCTTGTTTCGCTGCCATTTGCTCAATGAGCTTGGCAGTTCTTTCGCGCTCTTCGGCGCTTGTTTTTCTCTCCTCGATTAGCTGACGGGTTAAGTCCGTCAGCTGACAAGATAGCTCAGCTATCTGTTTCTTCAAGTCCTTATTTTCATTCCTCAATTTCCTAAGGTAGTACCCCGCATGTTGGGCAACCTCCTCGACTTCGCTTGACGAATAGATGTCTTCCTCGTCGTCCAACATCTTTTCCACTGTTTCGAACGTATCCCGTTCGATTACCACCATCGACTTCGCAAAGTTCGACTTTTGCACAATTTCCAGTTGTGGCCGCCCACTGGAAATTGTGTGTTTCTTTCGCGCTGGTGCCCTTTTGGGCTCACTGCACTTCTCTCCTCTTCACTTCAATTTTTCGTCCGCCCGGTTAAGGCTTTGCCTATTTGGGTGGGCGTCACCCTCGCGTTCCGGCGTTCTCTCCGCGTTTGTCGCGTGGTCGCGTGCGGTCTCTGTGTCCTCGGTTCGTGTTCTCTCCTCGGCGTTGTTCACTTATCGACTTGTGCACTGCGAATGAAAGTGATATCAACGTATAGGTAAATGAAAAAGTTCTTTTTTGTTTCCCAAACACTTCGTGTAAATAATCAACGGCATCTGGGTTGGAAGGCAATAAACCACACTCACGAAATCCATTAATTAAAGTTTCCCTCTTAATATGATTCATCACTACTTTTTCCAATAGAGCAAATGATATTTTATTTAGAACTTCTCCAAGTTTTTGTTCGTAAGATTCCCCGACAGCTTTTTTCCATCCCATTTTTATGGGCCTGAATACTGCACCATCACATAGTTGAAGAATTCTGGTTACATTCGGATATACGGCCAGAACGTCAATGTTCAATTCATTGGAAAGTCTACTTAAGTCATAGGTTAAATGAGACTTATGGCCATCTAAAAATAATACGGGGAACTGTATATTATTTTTAACTAACAATGGATGGAATACGCTTTTTACATAATCATAGAATGTCTCGGCCGTCATCCACCCGTTATCGGATCTTCCAATGCCCCAACCACAATCTTTGACGATCTGGCGTATTTTTTCTAGAATTCGCTTGTAAGGATAAACTTCTATCATAGGTGGACAAGTAAATCCTTAGATGATCCCTTTTCCATAGAATAAACATTCTTTTCTATCAAAAACTTTGCTAGTTTTTTGGCAAATCTGAAATTCGGATTCATCGCCATTGTAAATTCTTAAAGGGTCATTAATGATTAAATTATTATTTGGTTGGTTTTTGAGTTGTTAGGCCGTCATAAAACTTTTTTACTTGACGTGTCGACAACACTAGCGGTTGGCATCTTCACAGTTTGGAGTTGTACACTCCTAGACCCGCGTATTAGATCTTCTACCAGATTCATCATTATGTACTCGTATTAATTATTGTGACTCCATTTAAAATGATGGCCACGCAAGCAATTTCTAAGCTGACCGAGCTCCATTAGCTCCCCTCGGTTCTCCTTAACCCACGTCCTCACTTTACACCCCTTGTCTCCAAACTTTAACCACATCTTCCATTCGTCCTCATACGCATATGGTTCTTGTACAAGAACCACATCCACATCCTATTAATACTCTCCTTCTCTCATTAACCATTGTAGACCACGTCATTTTATGCTTTTTCCCTGACATTTCAATATTATTTTGGTTTTTATGTTATAAATTTAATGTTTTTTGTATAATATTTAAGTAAAAAATACTAATAGTTGAACACGTGACTATAACTGAAAAAAATAAACGTCTCATTTCAATGCAAATGTAATTGTAATGCATATTAACGCACAAATTCCAACACAAAATACCATCAAAACTAAAAAAAAAACTAAAGAAACAAATATTTTAAAAGAACTAAAACAACAGTTAAAAATATATAAACAAATGAAGAAAAACTACATACTCAAACAAACGTCTCTGGTCGAATGATCTTTGCATGCGTATTTGTGGCATTTCGCGGCACTGTCTTGTAGATTTGTTGCGATTGCTTGTGCAAATATAGCAACGTAGTTTTGCAGAACTTGTTGATGAGGTGTCTCAGGTTCCGCAACACCTAGAAGTACCCTTGCACGCCTTCTTATTTCCACCTGTGGTGATGTCTTCTTTTGCGGGTTTGTCGGTGCTGGCAAATCTGGCTGTGTTGGCCCTTTGCTCTTGTCTTGGATGTTACTCTTTGGTTTGTTAGCTCCTTTGGCTACATCTGGGCTTCCTCTTCTCTTCATTTTGTTAATGTCGAAGTTCTGAGGCTTACCCCTGTATCCGGGCGCTATTTTCCGAATTTCATCTTCTGAATATTGTTGTGTTTATCTATGATGATTATTCGTTGAAACAAATGTTTCCCTATCAGGAACCAGGTGTCAAACGAGAAGCTGTGAGGTGTTTGACCTGAATTCTATTTATAGCTTTACTAGTTCCCAGGCCAAACTTTCAATAAACTTACTACGTTTTACGCGCTGAAATCCATTATTCTCTTTATAAATGCATAATGCATTTATAACAGAAATATTTAAAGATCATAAAAAGTTACCATCGGTCAACGACGTGTGTTTCTTGCGACATTGTACGAGGCACGTCCAGAAAGTAAGTGTACTCAATTTATGTAGGGTTCAAAAAAATTTATCAAAACCATAATATACTTGGTTACACTTGTAAAGGGTGTTCAGATAAGGACGCTCGAAAGTTAAAATGGAAAAAAAAGGAAAAAAATTTAAGTCAGCACTAAAAGTCTATATTGATCGTAAATAGCATTCGACGACATTATGTATGGAAGATTATATCGTTTAAATGGCCACCGCGACTGCGCTGTAGAGCGTGCATTCGCATGGTCCAATTTTCGAGCACTTTTCCGCACATTTCAGCGTCTACCTGTCCGGGGACGCGAATGATGTTGGCCCTTAATGCTGCAATTGTTTGTGGCTTATCCGCATACACTTGAGACTTCACGTAGCCCCACAGGAAAAAGTCTAAAGGCGTTATATCGCACGATCTTGGTGGCCAGTGCACATCGCCGCCGCGCGAAATAATGAAACCGTTGAACTTTTCATGCAGTAAATCCAGCATTGCGCGTGCGGTGTGGCACGTAGCGCCGTCCTGCTGGAACCAGATGTCTGTTAGATCCATATCGTCCAGTTGAGGCCACAGGAAATTATTAATCATGGCGCGATACCGATCTCCATTGACCGTAAGCGCGTTGCCCATAGCGTCCTCAAAAAAATATGGACCGATTACGCCGCCAGCCCAGAAACCGCACCATACAGTCACTTTAGCAGGATGCATAGCAATTGAGCAAGTCACTTCAGGATTTTGGTCAGCCCATATACGGCAATTCTGTTTATTGACATACCCATTCATCCAGAAATGCGCCTCGTCGCTGAAGATGATTTTTCGTGCAAATGCAGGGTCGACTGCTCTAGAGCCCATGCGGCAAATGTACGGCGCGCGCGCCGTTCAAACATCGAGCGTCCCTATCTGAACACCCTTTACATATGTAAGTTATTTTTCGACATAGTCACCATCCCTCTCGATGCAAGTGGTGAGCCGCGGGATCAATTTTTTGATGCCGGCCTCGAAGAAGTCTCCCGCCAGCTCTTTCGCCCACTTCTCCACCTCCCCCTTCACCTCCTCGTCCGTTGAAAACTTGTTTCCACCCATGTGCCCCTTTAGGGAAGTGAAGAGATGGAAATCTGAAGGAGCCAGGTCAGGGGAATACGGGGGGTGATTCAGAACGTCCCATCCAAAAGAGTCCAGGAGTTGCTTCGTGGCGTTGGCCGTGTGGGGTCTGGCATTGTCGTGCAACAGGCAGACTCCCTTCGTCAGCATGCCCCTCCTTTTATTCTGAATCGCCCTTTTCAATTTTTTTAGCGTCTCACAGTATCTTGCCGCGTTGATGGTCTCCCCGTGAGGCAGATATTCAATCAAAATTATGCCTTTATGGTCCCAAAACACGGATGCCATAATTTTTTTGGCTGAAATTGTGGTTTTGAATTTCTTGGCGGAGGGTGACAAGGTGTGACGCCATTGCTGAGACTGCCTCTTTGTTTCAGGCGTGTAGTGGGCAACCCAAGTTTCGTCTCCAGTAACAATAGAGTAGAGAAAATCATCGCCTTCGAGTTCGTAGCGTTCCAAAAACTCTTCGGAACTCTGCATTCGTTTCAACTTGTGCTGTTCTGTCAGCTGCTTTGGGACCCACCTCGCAGACAATTTCCGATATCCGAGAGTTTCTGTGATTGTTTCGTGTAACAGGGATCTGGAGATTTGCGGAAACATCGCAGAAAGTTCATCTAACGTCAATCTGCGATCGTCACGGACCGCAATCTCGATTTTTCCCACAAGTTCCTCAGTCAAAATTGAAGGTCTTCCGCTCCTCTGATCGTCATGCACGGAAGAACGGCCATTTTTAAACTCGCGACACCACTTGTACACACTCGTACGATTCATAGCTCCATTGCCGTAAACAGTTTTCACCTCATTATAAATTTCAACCGGAGCTTTTCCCTTCACAACGAGGTAGCGAATGACGGCGCGAATTTCGCACTTGGCGGGAGATACGATCGACATTTTTCGCGAGAGATGTTACTGCGTCAAGAGTTTTCAACACACTAACCTCAGATTGGTCTCTTTTTGAAGGGGAGGGGTCAGGCTACGCGGCAGTGTTGCCAACATGTCGAAAAAGTATTCTCTACAGCTGTGAGAATACCAGTACACTTACTTTCTGGACGTGCCTCGTGTTTTTGGGAAATTTGATCTAGCAAGTCCACTCCTATTTTAGTTTTGTTATGACAAGTTATCATTTCTGGTTTGGCCTTTTCACCACTTTCAATGTCGATTGCATCGTCAGGATGCATGCTTGATATAACTATAACCGCTTTATTTTTCTTCGGACAGTAAGAAACTAAATAGGGTGTAGTCCTCTTGAAATCCATAGACCATAGATAGATGAATTTTCTCTTCTATGTTTATTTGGCAAAAATTCTCGGGGTAACTCAGTTTTATTCTTTCTAATTGTACCAGCATACGTTATTTTTTTCTAGCAATTTTTTTACTAGCCATATGCTCGTAAACCAGTTATCTCCAGTAATATTTCTATTAGTGCTTATTACTGGTTGGACAAGTCTTAGCACAATCTCTTGAGCTGAATTTCCCAATCTGTATGGCCCTTCAGGTTGTATACCCACATATGGTTCTAAGTTGAACGTATAGCCAGTTTCTGCATCAACTAAAGCAAACATTTTTACTCCATATCGAGCGGGCTTGCTTGGAATGTATTGCTTGAATGAGCAACGCCCACGAAATGACAAAAGCTGCTCGTCAACTGTCAAGTATTCGCTAGCAATGAAATATTTTTGGAAATTTTCAATAAATAACTGAAATATGTCTCGTCAGTCCGTTTCTAGTGATGAATGCCTTTCCGCAGTCCTCGCAATTGTACTTGGTCGGTTTGGCAGGCCCCAGGTTGGCCGTATTACTGGCTCCTGTTTTTCTGGATAAGGTGCTTGGGCCTGCCTTGCTAGAGGGCCGCTGGCGGTCTTGTTGCTACCCGCTGGCGGACTTTTCGGTTTCCCGCCCCTACCTTCGGTAGGGTTATCGCGGGTGGCTAACCGCGGTCCCTTCGCACCACGTGATTGGCTCTCTCCTCCTCTTGATATGGCGGAGTTACTCCTCTTCTTTGCCGGGTCGGCCATTGCGCATGCGCAGGATGACCGTAGCCGGCAAGATTAAAAGTTCTATCCTTTCTAGTGATGGGCAAAGTGACTCATTTGAATGTTTTGAAACAATTGAATCAATCACCTATGATGTTTCGAAACACTGATTCGAAACATTTGAATCAGTATCTCGTACCTCGTATATCTAGTTTTGCGAAACATGAATTAGCAGAACGTATTTAGTTTTATACTATTCAAGACACTCAACTCAGTATGTGACACAGTCGTTTTGCAGGACGCAGCGGTACAGTGTACAGCGGAAGGTCGAACACTGCTTGATGCACGTTTAACTACTTCATATCATCTATATATTTTCACCATGAAATTAAAAAAAATATGGCTGTTTTTCGTTTCTTCGACCCATACAGATTTGATAACACTTTTGAGACTCTACGGATGGGTCAAATTAACCGAAATAAAATCAGATTTAAAAAACTATATTTTTTTGTCTAACTTTTGATATGATTGATTGCATACTTTTTAAAGAAAAAACTCTAAAAATATTCCATTTCTCCATTTCTAGTGCTATTACAGATTTGATCTCACTTCTGAAAATTTAAGGATGAGCCTAATTGGCCGAAATAAAACTAGATTTGTATTTTGTTTTGTTCTCCAGCGCTCATTTCCTCGTCTGAACAAATCTATAATTCTCTCATCTCATGCCTATTCATACGAAGCAGCTCGATTTTGCATGTCGCAGTATCGCCTTCGACGACTCGCGGTGCCGCGTTGTCATACATTCATATACTAGTACAATACTGCTTCTTAGTAGCAACTTTTTTTTAGAATCGAAAAGCATGGTAAAGCTGCTACTGTCAAAAAGCAGCTTCAAAATAGCAGCTTATGAAATACCAATCTATCCCTAATTGTAACATATGTAATTTTGAAATAAAAATTGTTAGAACTTCTTAATTTGTATTGACGTAACAAACATAAAATTAAAATAGGTACGTAGAATTAGTAGAAACAAAAAAATACAAACATGTATATAACCAAAACATGTGTAAAACAACAAATTAATAAGTAAAAACAAAAATTAACTTTTTCATAAATATAACAATATAAACATAAAAGAATATGTAGCAACCAACGAACCAAACGAACCAACTAAAAAAGAAAAGGGCTATTTGATGGTTGATATCTATTATATCGCAAATCGTATTTTTTTCAAACAACTAACAATTTTATTGTTATTTTTCGCTATTCATGATGAATGAGTTAAAGTAACTATTTAGGAATATAATCTTTGACGATTTCTCGGCACTTAATCTGTTCCGCCTTTCTGTTATAATCTGTCCTGATTTCGAAAATATCCGCTCGCATGGGACTGACGTCGCTGGAATACAAAGTCTTCTCTTCATCAAATCAAAAAGGCTAGGAAATAAATTCTTGTTTTCTTTCCACCACAAAAGTGGATCGGCTTTGCGGGAAATTAATGGCATTTGTAGATATTTGTCCACTTCGATAATGGCTGCGGCCATGGAATTATCGGTCTTTTCTATCATGGTTCCCACAGTCGAATCAAATTCAGTCCATATATCACCAAATCGTGAAGATTTTTTTGAAGACGTCGACAAAGTAGGAGTCGATATTGTTCTACTTTCATCAGTAGTATTTTTTTGAAGTTTATCTTTCTCTCTCTCCCTTATTTGCATACATTTTTTTATTACGTTTTCTTTAGTTTGCTTAAAAATGTTATCTTCATGAAATCCATGCTGTTTGAATCTCGGATCTAAAAATGTTGCCTCCCATATTATGGTTATGTTCCTATATTTCCATTTAAATCTCTTCCCAACTTCATCATATAATTTGTTCACCATATTAATCACAAAACCATTTTCAAATGTCTCGCTTTTTAAGCGGGAACAATAACTGATTAGATTTTTACTTAATATTGCAATTTTAGAAAGAGATACATTTTTTTCAGCACTAATTTCAACGGTGATTTCCTCAAATATGATCAGGATATCACTACAGGTTTCTATAATATACCAGTCTTCTGGGGACAAAACAGGAAGAGTAGGATTGTTTAAAATACCTAAGGTGCTCTGCAAGGATTCCTTATTTTTGCTGAATCTACACAGGTTTCTATAATATACCAGTCTTCTGGGGACAAAACAGGAAGAGTAGGATTGTTTAAAATACCTAAGGTGCTCTGCAAGGATTCCTTATTTTTGCTGAATCTACGCAGCATATCAGAAGTGGAATTCCATCTAGTTGGACAATCTTGTTTAAGTTTAAGAACACTCGCACCCATACGTTGTTGGACGTTCTGCAACTTCTCCATCGCCGAAGTACTTCTTTTGAAGAATTCTACTATCGATTTTACTTTGCTTAAAGTGTCGGTAATTTCAATTAAGCTAGACTGTACTATTAAATTTAACGAATGAGCAAAACATGGCACGTGCCACCATTTAGCAAGTTGTACAGCTTTTACCATATTAGCAGCATTATCAGTTACACATGCAACAATCTTATTGTCCACTTGCCATTCTGATAATACCATTTTTAATTGCTCAACTATATTTTCAGAAGTATGTTGTCCCAAAAATTTGAATGAGGATAATAATAATAGTCCAGAATGAATTTCACAATCATCAGTTAAGAAATGAGCAGTAATGGCATAAAAACTCTCATTGTTTATTGATGTCCAGCCGTCGGTTGTAATTGCAACGTAGGCAGTTTTGTCCAAAAGCACTTTCAAATGGGATACACATTTTTCATACGCCGCCGATAATAAACTATTCGATAATGTTTTTCGACTTGGCAGTTCATAGCTCGGGTTTAACATACTGACAAATTTTTGAAAATTAACACTTTCAACAATATTAAATGGTTGATAATCAATAACAATAAATTTTAATAATTGATTATCAAGTGCTTGTCGTTTAGACAATCCCAAAGGTCTTTTAAGAAACTGACTAATTGGGGTCCCGAATCCCTTGCATTTTTCCACATTTCTAGATGTTTGTCCACTATTTTTCACGTTTGTCTCATCTGCAGCCGTTTCAGGGTCACTACTTCTTAATGTTTTTGCACCAACCATTTCATATTCTTGCTCTTCCACATTTAATGTCCGTTTCCTAGTTTCTCCAAGGTTTATAGTAGGATGCTTCAGCTTAAAATGCCGTGTCAAGTTGGACGTTGATCCATTCTTTACTGCTAATGTTGAAAAACACAAATTGCACTTAGCATTACTTTCATTTTTTGAGTTTTGGGAAAAATAATCCCAAATAATACTCCGCTTATTCGACATTTTAATTAACTACGGATTATAGTGAATAAAAAAATAAATCATTAATCGCAATCACCGTCAAAGTAAACGTAAATAGTAAACTGCTGATTCGGTGAACAGCGGGCATCGATACTGATTCAAATGTTTCAGTGTATTAGTGTAGCAGTCACACATCCGAACGCAGGAATCGAGCGTATGCAACCACGTTAGCAGTACTTGTGTAACTTGTGTTGTATTGAAATGAGTCAATGTATCGACGCATGAAAGTTTTACGTATAGAAACATTGAAACATCTATTTGTTTCAAAACAATGTTTCGAAACATCAACTCACTAGCCAACACTAATCCTTTCTGCGTATAGGAGTGAAGACCGTTTGCCGCTACGTAGTCTGGTTCCGGAGATATCGTGTATGAAAGATTTTATCTCCGGAACTACCTCCTCCCAGCTCCTGGTATCTAATACCTGGCCGCACTTAATACGGCCAGTATGGCGTTATCTTTCGAGATATGGTGTGTGTCCTTGGGGCCGGTAGATGATTAGTTGGACGCCTTTTTGGCCCCGTCGGACACGATGGAATTGCCAAAGGGCAGTAGCTTCTAAACGCCGGAAACCGGCGTTGCGGGGGGCAGTCGAGCTGGTGTAGTGATCTTTCTGAAGTGCGATGCCCCAAAGACAATATGGTCAGTCGTGAGATTCAAACCTTGATTAATGGTTTTAAGGTTAGAATCTTGGTGTTTCTTTGTTTTTACCTTTTAATACCAGCCCTTTGCACTCACCCCGCTGTCTCCACTCCCACGCACTAACCGCGTCACCGCACGTGTGTTTGCCCGTTCTTGTGGGCATCGCGACGCGGTAGAGCCTCTTGATACGATTTAAAATCGCGGGATGCCGCACACACGTGCACACTCCTCAGCGGCAGAGAAGAGAGTATATGCGCCATTTTGTCAGTTTCTCTTCTTTGATTCCTATCACGTACATCATCTTAGAAGAAAATAGAATCGTTTCTCGCTCATGGATAGATAACATAACTCTATACCGCTTCCCTTAGAGTAATCTCACATCTGATGTGCATCTTGTCTTGAACTTCTAAACATTCCAGTGTTCAACAAAATGCCAAATAATGCTCCAATCTCCTTTTGATCTGTTTGTCTTGCGTCTCTGTCACGGTTGTAATTGGCGCGAACTTTATCTATATGTAAAGGGTGTCCCAAAATTAACGCAAGATTTGAATTAAATAGAAAATGCCATTTTTAGTCTTTTAATAGTTATATTTTTATTGACTCATAAAGTACATAGGATAGGGTTATGTATGGAATAACACATCGGACAAATGGCCTCCACGGCTTTGCATGCACATGCGCACTCTTTTGTCGAAATTTTCCATGACCCTTCTGCATAAATGTGGCTGAATTTCGTTGATGCAGCGTTGAATCTCCTCCTTTAATGCACGGGTGGTTGTGGGCTTGTTGACATAGACTTGTGATTTCAAATAACAACATAAAAAGAAGTCTAATGGTGTTAAATCACACGATCTAGGAGGCCAATTTTGATCACCGAAACGAGAGAGTACACGACCGGGAAATGTCTCATGCAGTAATTGAATTGTTTCACGGGCTGTATGACATGTGGCACCGTCTTGTTGAAACCACATATTGGGTACATCAATATCATTCAATTTTGGCAGAAAGAACTGTGTAATCATGTCGCGATATCGAGCACCAGTAACAGTCACTGCTTGACCAGCATCATTTTCAAAAAAATATGGCCCAATTATGCCTCCAGCCCAAAATCCACACCAGACAGTCACGCGTTGTGGGTGCATTTCTTTTTCGACAATCACACGTGGGTTCTCCGAACCCCAAATGCGGCAATTTTGGCGATTGACAAAGCCATCAAGATGAAAATGTGCTTCATCGCTTAGGATGATTTTGCTTGAAAAATCAGGGTCCATTTGTTGATGTTCAATAATCCATTCAACAAACTCTCTTCTCTCTGCATGGTCATTAAGCTTCAATTGTTGTGTTAATTGAAGTTTGTAAGCATGAAGACACAGATCTTTGGTGAGTATACGCTGTAGAGAGGTTCTTGACATTTGCAATTCTTGTCCACGACGTCGAATTGAGGTTCCTGGATTGTCCGCAACACTCTCACGCACTGCTTCGATATTCACATTTGAACGGCTTGTTTTTAGACGACCAGTGTGTTTGGCGTCTCCAACGGATCCAGTCTCCATGAATTTTTCAATTAATCTCTTCACAGTTGACGAAGTTAAAACACTATTCCGGCCATATTTTGTATGAAATTTTCGAACTGCAGCCGCCAAGCTTTCACTATTTTTGAAATATTCTTTAATAATGAAGACACGTTGTTCTATCGTGTAACGCTCCATTTTTCATAACCCTATACTGTTAGCTGTCAAATTGCTTTTTTTCAGGGTTGCCAACACTTCACTGCACAAATGGCGGCAAATTCAAATCTTGCGTTAATTTTGGGACACCCTTTATTTCAAAAGGGATTGTACGAATTTAATAAATTAAGTAGTGATATCAAGATGTGTGTCAGTTTGAAAATGTTCAAAGGGAAATTGAAAAAATATCTCAAGGAAAACCAAAATTCATAGTAGTGAAACTTTTATAAAAATATGTAGTCTTGAAGACATAATATATTTTGTGATATACTGTTTAACATTACGGACATTGTAGCATTAATACTAAATAAATCTGAAATAAACAAACAAACGCATACTCGAATATCAGCTTCAGTTTCTGTTCGGGGTTGAGACTAAGTCTTGCCGCCCATTTTGCAGCAGAAACGAATTCCTTCGCGTTGTTTTTGCTAAAAATTCATTTCCACGTAATGGAGCTGACACCTAGGTAACGGATCACTTCGTCTGGGTCCACATATTTGACTTCTTGATCCTTGATCTTCAAGATAGCCCAAGTTTTATGTAGCGGATTAGAAGTGAACGCGTTGCATTTGGCTATCGTGAGGTATGTGCCTAGGGCGCTGAAATATTCAGCCACGAGTTGGATGTCCTCTTCAGATTTGCTGATAATCAGATCATCCGCGAACGCCAGGACCGACACATTGCATCCTCCCAGCGTAATTCCCTTTCCTTCCCGCTGATCAAGATATGTCGTGGATCGACGACTGCGTTCCATAGTGGACTAAGAGGATCGCCTTGCTTCACGCCTCTCTTCAGACTGATCTCTATTTGTTCGGTCATAGATGGTAAGACCGTCTGACAATCCTGGTATACGTAATCGACGTATTCAGCGATATAAGGGGCCACTCCAAGCCTTCTGAGCGCCGGTACTAATGCACCATGTGGCACTGTGTCAAAGGCTTTGGAAATGTCAAGTATGGAACAAGTTCCACCCTGTTCCACCTTCATTGCTTTCAACGTTTGGCGAAAGAGGGAGACGTTCTGAGCCGCTCGCTCGTCATGCGTGAACCCTTTTTGTGCTCGGCTTAGCTCGATGTTTCCCCTAAGAGAATCATCGATCACCCCCGAGAACAATCTGGATAGGATTGAACTGACAGTAATCGGTCGCCAATTGGCTGTCACACGTCCTTGCCGTCTTTTGGGATCAGCGTTGTTCTGTTACGTTTCCAGGATCCGGGGTAGAACCCAATCGCCAAACATATTATAGATCGCAGTCAGAAGAATGCGCGCTGTTCGACGTATGTCCTTCTTAGTCACTTTGTCTGGCCCCGCAGCAGTGTGCGTTTTCAGGCGTCGGTATCTTTTTTCTACCGTCCCGAGCTGTATCGGCTTAATATCGACGACGCCCACCCTTGTAGCTACGGTCTCTTCCCAATCAGGTGGGAAGGATGTGGTTTCTTCACCGCCCCAGAGTCCATTGTATAGGTCTCTTACCTGATCACCCGGGGGTAGTTCAGGTTGGCGGCGTTGTTCGATATCTGAGAGCCGATCTTCCACTACTAGCGTAGCTAGTTGTTTCGGTTCTTTCTCCCAGAGTTGTTGTACCGTAGCATACTCGTGTTGGCGTCTTTTGTCTCTACTTCCCCTAGCTCTGTGGTTAGCGTTTGCGGCCTTACCTCTCTGGCCGTTTCGGGGCAGATTGGGTTTGCCTCCCGCTAACTCGACGGTGAGTTCGTTAACGACGTTTTCGAGTTGTTTTACGAGTGGGTCAGATACGCTGATGACATCTTCAGCAGATCGAAAGCTCCCCGCAATTGCAGTTAACCTGACTGCCAAAGGCTGTATTTTAGCGTCCTTCGCCATCTCGTCATGGTGTTTGGCAAGTGTTCTGGTCGCCGAAGCTATCATACACTGCCTCCATCTCTTCTCTTCATCGTCATACGATTTTTGTACTTTCGCCTGAGGCTTCAAGATCTTATTTATTGTCAATTGTTTTAGCAGTTTTGTTGTCTGATTCCCAAGTGAGCGGGGTACTGCTCTGTCACTCGTTCGAGGCGCTGGCCCGTTCGCCGGTTCAATCAGGCCGAGCAGACGACGCTTGTCGCTGATCTGCCTTTGTGTTTTTCCCGGGAACTGCGACACCAAGAGCTTGTTAATGTATCTTTGTCTCGCATACTCTTGGTTTAGTTGGCGCAGTTTCTGCTCCTCTTCCTCTGACCAAATCTTTGACCTGACTCCAGCATTCGTCTTCCTGGGAGCGACTGCGTCAGCTAACCGCTTCTGGTTTCTGATTGCTGGGTGAGTATGTCGTTCATGCATCGATAGGCCAACTTTGGTAGGGAATGATGAGGAGCAGGCTTCGCACGTATGACCAGTTTCTGCGGTACGACCTAGTGGTCGGCATGATCGAATATGGTTCGAAATTCCCGATGTGGTCGTGCTCTTTCTGTCGCAGTGCGGACATTCCCAGTATGTTGTTACTTCTGAGTGCGTCTCTGATACGTGTGTTTTAGCGTCTTTCGCGCTTAGGAAGGACTGCATAACCCTCCCTGCGCGAGCGCATAGCGAGCAATTGTATCTTTCCGCAGGGTGCTTAAATATGGTATTTAGTGCGGCCTCGCATGGGTCTCCGGAGCCCGAGTCGGTGGGAGACTCAGAGTTTCCAGGAGAACTGCATTCCGGCCCCTCAGTGGTCTGCCTGACTGTCTCAACTCCACTAGCAATTGTACGTGAAGTCGAGCACTGATAGCGAGAATCAAAACCCACTTTGAGAGCTTCATCATTCACTGTTGAATCGTCTCCAAATACTATACGGTACTAATGCACCGTATAGCACTCGTCGAATGATTTGGAAATGGCAAGTATGGAAACCCTTATCATCATTCCACCACCTGATCGGTCTTCAGAATAACCGAGATGAGACCACACCGACCTGATTCCCCACTAAGGTTTAAGGTCGCCGGCGGGTTCGACGGCGTAGTGCGTTCAAGTCTTTGGCTGCCCCATGCGTTCGAATTTGGCCCCTTGGTAGTCGAGGTTCGCCTGTCGGTTCGGAAGTGTTAGTTCTTCCCCTTCGGGCCTCCTCTTGAGTCCGAAAACTTGAACCGTTTTTTCTAATTGTTCAATCAAGTGATAGTGTCTATTAGTTGGAATTTGTCACTTAAGTGTTTTAGGCTTTCCTGTGTCAACAGGCGCCTTTACGTTCAACTTGAATCTGATGTTATGCACGTCGGGTTCTTTCTGCGTTCAAGTACTCCGTAAGTCAGCCGTGGTTAGCCTCGTACGTTGGATACTGCCGTCGATGAAGTCGTTCGCCATCTCAATTGATGAGCGAAGAGCAATCATTGAGAGTGTTCTGCATATCGACTTGGAATAAATTCCTAGACGCCGTAGGCCATTGACCGTAGTCCTGGGTAGTGCCCCTCTCGCGCCAATGACGATTGGGATTATTTCCATTTCTCAGTCTCCGAAGATGTCTCGGAGAGGGTTGTCCAGTCGCGAGTATTTGGCCACTTTTTCCTCGTGGGCTTCCTTTAGCGTGTTTGTACCCTCGTAGCGGACCGTATAGTCGACCACTTGGGCCATTCCCTGGTCTACTACGACCAGATCCGGTTTCAACACGCCATTGGAAACGCGGAACGTTGACTCAGGAGTAACTCCAGGTTGCGCCGCTTCTTGGATACTTCTGACTCGACGAGGTTACCAATCTCTTCGTGTCTCTTTATCACTCTGGACATCCTCCAATAATGTGAGATAGGGATTCCGGCCCGTTCTCACATACGCGGTATAGATAATAATAATAATAACTGTCTTTACTGGATTAACCAAAAGGCGGAGTTCACATTTCGCGCTCTTCCACCCAACCTCACAAAGATACAAAAAAAATATACAAATAATGAAAATAGAGAGTATGAGTTGAATGTTCAACCTAATCAATTAAAGAATAAAAACTGAATATATACATAGATGGGAGGGGTAATCGTATCCAGCCCGAATGAGTGTTGTCCTGTTACCGTACGTATTGGTATGCATACGTAGGACATCGATCATGCTGCCGTTACATAGTAGATCGTCCCTGGTCAACCACTCATTTCCAGGGGGAATACTCCTTTTCGATGGCACTTCAATTCAATTTTGCGACGGCGTCTGTGGAGGTCGGCATCTGGATTCGAAGCAGTTTAGCTGCTTTTTCCGCCTCCGCGGACCGCACAGATGACATTCCGACGTTTCGGACTACGGAGTCTGTTGACTGCCTCATCCTCACGACCGACTTGATAACAGCGAGCTGAATATCAGTTGTCATCCGGGTCACGCCTAGGCCACCTTCCTTCTTGCACGTATATATATAGTAGATACATGGTGGTACTTTCCGGCAGATGAAAGATTTTAAGAACATCGTTCCGGATTTGTTGATCCACATCTCCTAATGCCGTCTTGGAAGGTGGGTTTAGCACCATTCCGTACCTGTATCTAGGATACACATACTCGAATATCAGCTTCAGTTTCTGTTCGGGTTTGAGACTAAGCCTTGCCGCCCGTTTTGCAGCAGAAACGAATTCCTTCGCGCTGTCTTTGCTAGAAATTCCTCCTTTCCAAGGAGTGAAACTCACACCGAGGTAACGGATCGCTTCATCTGGGTCCACATAATTGATTTCTTGATCTTTGATCTTAAGCTAGGGCTCCACGATAACCCAAGTTTTATGTGGCGGTTTAATAGTGAACGCGCCGCACTTGGCTATCGAGAGGTTCATGCCAAGGGCGCTAAAATATTCTGACACAAGTTGGATGTCCTCTGCGGCGTCCTCTTCAGATTTACTGATAAGAATCAGACCGTCCGCGAACGCCAGGATCGCCACACTGCGTCCTCCCATGACAATTCCCTTTTCTTCCCGCTGATCAAGATATGTCAATAGTGGGTCGACGACTGCGTTCCAAAGAATTCTGGTATACGTAATCGACGATATAAGGGGCCACTCCAAGCCTTCTGAGCGCCGGAACTAATGCACCGTGTGGCACTGTGTCAAAGGCTTTGGAAATGTCAAGTATGGAATAAGTTCCACCATGTTCCTCCTTCATTGCTTTCAACGTTTGGCGAAAGAGGGAGACGTTCTGAGCCGCTCCCTCGTCATGCGTGAACCCTTTTTGTGCTCGGCTTAGCTCGATGTTTCCCCTAAGAGAATCATCGATCACCCCCGAGAACAATCTGGATAGGATTGAACTGACAGTAATCGGTCGCCAATTGGCTGTCACAGGTCCTTGCCGTCTTTTGGGATCAGCGTTGTTCTGTTACGTTTCCAGGATCCGGGGTAGAACCCAATCCGCAAAGAGGTATTGTAGATCGCCATGGAGTTCTGATCGCCCAAGCTATCATACACTGTCTCCATCTGTTCTCTTCGTCGTCGTACGATTTTTGTACTTTCGCCTGCGGCTTCATGTTCTTGTTTATTGTCGATTCTTTGAGCAGTTTTATTGTCTGATTCCAAAGTGAGGGGGGTACTGCTCTGTCACTCGTTCGGGACGCTGGTCCGTTCGCCGGTTCCATTAGGCCCGGCAGACGACGTTTATCGCTGATCTGCCTTTGTGTTTTTCCCGGGAACTGCGACATCAAGAGTTTGTTAATGTATCTTTGTCCCGCATACGCTTGGTTTAATTGGCGTAGTTTCTGCTCTTTTTCCTCTGACCAAATCGTTGACCTGACTCCAATATTCGTCTTCCTGAGAGCGGCTGCGTCTGCTAACCGTTTCTGGTTTCTGACTGTGCATGTCGTTCATGCATCGATAGGCCAACTTTGGTAGGGAATGATGAGGAGCAGGCTTTCTTTCTGTCGCAGTGCGGACATTCCCAGTACGTTGTTACTTCTGGGTGCGTCTCTGCTACGTGTCTGGGTGCGTCTCTGCTACGTGTGTTTTAGCGTCTTTCGCGCTTAGGAAGGACTGCATAACCCTCCCTGCGCGAGCGCATAGCGAGCAATTCTACCTCTCCGCAGGGTGCTTAAATATGATAGTATTTAGTGCGGCCTGCCTGGCTGTCTCAACTCCACTTACAATTCTACGTGAAGTCGAGCACCGATAGCGAGAGTCAAAACCTATTCTGAGATCTTTTTTTTCCAGCCTGGCGCACCTACTCCTATCAGCTAGGGGAAAATTCTACTAAAACCTAGCTGGTTGCCTCCTCTTTTTTCATCATATTTTCCCACAGTCGTGACAACTTGATAACTTGGTCGGCTACATTGCTACACGCCCAAGAGTGTGGTGGTCCGCAGTCTAGTGAGCTGTCCAGGTCATTTTCGTAGGAGGCTGGTTATTGAACCTATTCTGAGATCTTCATTCGCAAGTGAATCATCTCCAAATACGTCTCGAGCTGCATCGCTTTCCGCGCTCCATTTCGCTCCGTACGCGCTGCTGCCACCAGCAATCCGAACGGCACTTTTTTGGTCAGGTGGTAATCCCGTACAGCGCTTATCCATTGCATAGTTTCGTTTTCCCGAGACGATCCTCCACTCACAGGGTCGGGACGTCCCGCGAGGCTTTCAGGCCGCGTTCTGCTGACCTGCCCTTTGAGGACCTTTGACATGGGTGCGCTGGTGTAGTACGTTCTAGTCCCCAGCGTCTTAAGATATAGCTAGGTGTATTCCGCTCGTTCAAGTTTGGTTAAATTACCGGTCTACTAGTAGCGAACCCTTTATAGAGCAACCGCCCTTGCCCATATTGGTCGGTCCGGTTCGCCTGTAGACGCTGTTTTCCAGATCTTACCGCCCAAGAGTGTGGTGGTCCGCAGTCTAGTGAGCTGTCCAGGCATCCTTCTTCCAGGTCGTTTTCGTAGGAGGCTGGTTATTGAACCTATTCTGAGATCTTCATTCGCAAGTGAATCATCTCCAAATACGTCTCGAGCTGCATCGCTTTCCGCGCTCCAACTCGCTCCGTACGCGCTGCTGCCACCATCAATCCGAACGGCAGTTTTTTGGTCAGGTGGTAATCCCGTACAGCGCTTATCCATTGCATAGTTTCGTTTTCCCGAGACAATCCTCCACTCACAGGGTCGGGACGCCCCGCGAGGCTTTCAGGCCGCGTTCTGCTGACCTGCCCTTTGAGGACCTTTGACATGGGTGCGTTGGTGTGGTACGTTCTAGTCCCCAGCGTCTTAAGATATAGCTAGGTGTATTCCGCTCGTTCAAGTTTATAGAGCAACCACCCTTGCCCATATTGGTCGGTCCGGTTCGCCTGTAGACGCTGTTTTCCAGATCTTACCGCCCAAGAGTGTGGTGGTCCGCAGTCTAGTGAGCTGTCCAGGCATCCTCCTTCCAGGTCGTTTTCGTAGGAGGCTGGTTCAGCGCCACCAACACACACACACACACACCCTCCTACCCTGTGCGGTCCCTCCACCACCCCTGTTCCAGGCAACCTCAAACCCTTGAGGAGTGGGGGGAAGAGCAATGTGCTCCTCCCTCCTCTCCCGCCCGAAGGCCTGGCGTGGCGCTGCGTGGTTCAGGCCGCTTCCGCATTCCCCGAGTGTGTGCTGCCGAACGAGCTATCCCCCCTCCCCAATTTTGCCCCTTTTTTCCCGAAATTTGACTCGATCGCGCACGCGTCGCGGAAGCACGTGGTGGACGTTTCTTCCAACTGTCGGTTCTCGACTTTATGGACGGCCTCTTTTCTTGGGGGTCCTGCGCTGGGGGCTTTTGACCTAAGCCCCTCCTAAAGGTTGGTGAGCCTTCGCTCTTTCCTCGTCGACTGGAGTCAGTCAGTCGTCGTCAGTCAGTCATTTTAGTAAGTCATTCGTCTCCTGAGGTTAGCCCCGAGTCCGTGCTTGACTCTGGCCACCTCAATCGACAGGCTTCTTTTTGTCCACCCGTTGTACACGGGCTGTTCTTTCCCCTCTTGGGTGTACAACTATTGTCGGTCTTCTCCCCTTTTCTTTGGCCTCATCAGCTGCTAGGGCCAAATTTCTTCTTGTTGCAGCTGGCTTTTCGGTCTTTTGTGACGCCTTATTGTTCTTGGGTCGTAATCCAAGGCGTCTCTGATCAGCACGTTTCGGTGCCTTTCGTTCTTTTCAAAGAACTTTCGGGCCCTTTCTTTCATCTGGATTACGACCGGTACCTGTCGTAGTTCGTCATATAGCACTCTGTTAGGTACATACCACGGTGCGTCCACCGCTTCACGGAGTGTCATGTTTTGTTGAGCTTGGAGCCTCTTCTTCATCGTTTTGGAAACGTAGCCCCAAGCTACTGCTGCGTAAGTCATGATTTGTAGCAGCACCATCTGAATCATGATGGTCTTATTCTTTAGTGACACTTTGCTTCTTCTGCCCGTTAAGGGTCTTAGTTTGGAGCGTGCCATCTTCACTTTCTGCACCCGGTCTTCGACATGGTTCTTCCAAGTGAGTTTCTGGTCCATCTTGACTCCAAGGTATGTGCTGGAGTCTTTCCAGTCGACCTCAACTTCTTCGTCTCTTCTCCAGCCTCTCTCCATTCTGGTGGTCGTCATCTTTATTTTGGTCTGAGGTAATCTTCGATTTCTTCGGAACAGTACCGCTTCGGTCTTATCGGGGTTGAGACGGATCTTCCACTTGATGCACCATTCCTCTAGATTGGTAGTCGCTCGTTGCAGATATTCCGTAACCATGCGGGGTCTCTTACTTTCTGCCGCATATGCTGTATCGTCCGCATACACATACAGTTGCGTTTGTGGAGTCTTCGGGATGTCCGAGCTGTAGATTGCATACAGCAGGGGTGATAGAACCGCTCCCTGCGGTACTCCTGCCTCCACAGTCCTCGTCGTCGAAGTTTCTTTACCAATCCTAATTCGGAATTTTCGGTGCTTCAAGTAGGACTTCACCAGTTGGATCATCCCCTTTGAGTATCCGAGGTCTACCATCTTGTAGATCAGTCCGTCATGCCAAACAGTGTCGAACGCCTTTGCGGCATCCATGAACACAGCTCCCACGGCCCGCCGAGTCTGGAACGATTTCGTTGCCATCTCGACCAGCCTTAGGACCTGGTGCTCTGCTGAATGCTCGCATCGGAATCCGAACTGTTCGTCTGGAACTACTCGGAGTTCTTCGGTTTCGTTCTTCAGTCTTCGTTCGATTACCCTTTCCGCAATCTTGCTCAGTACCGTCAACAGGCTTATGGGTCTGTAGTTTTGGGGGAACCTTGGGTCTTTCCCAGGTTTTGGAATGTTGATCACCTCGGCTACTTTCCAGTGATCTGGAAAGTACCGGTGTCTCAGTATGGCGTTGACAATGTTGGTAATTGCCATTATCGCTTTCCTCGGGAGTCTCTTCAGGACTCTGTTCCCAATTTCGTCTACACCCGGTGCTTTCTTCACCTTGAGTCTTCCGATGATTTCCCTTACCTCGCCTGGAGAGGTCATGTCTTCGATGGCTCTTCCTCCTCTGACAGCTCTCCTCGATCTTCTCATCACCTCGTCGATGAAGTCTTCGTCTTCATCGGGGTGAGTATTGAGAGTACACTGTCTCTGAAGGTTGTCAGCAAAAGCTTCTGCCTTCTCTTCGGTTGTGTACACCATCCCCTGTTCGCTGTGTATTGGGGGGATGGGCTGTCTTCTATTTCTGAGGATTTTAGCCAAGTTCCACATTCCTGGGTCAGCTGGAGATAGTTCGTCGAGTTTCTTATCCGAGGTGCTCTGATGGTGCTGCTTCAAGGCGTCTCGTGCCTGTCTCGTTAGTCTGTTTGCCACCATGATGTCCGTGGGGCTTCTGGTCTCCTGGGCTACTCTTCGGGCTCTGTTTCTTTCGGTGATCTTGCGATTTACCTCGTCAGGTAGGTCCCTGAACCTGTTTGGTTGCGTTATGTCTTCCACGGTGGTTGCGGCTTCTAACGCAGCCTTAATCTTCCTTTCTAGGTCCGTGACCGCTTCCTCTATGCCTTAGGGGCTTTCAATCTGAAGTAGTGGTCCTTGTGAATAGTGCAGTCTGGTTCTAAACCGCTGCCAATTCACTCTCTTCACTGTTCTTTGTTCCACAGGTGTTATCCCATCTCCCATACAGAGAAAGATGGGGTTGTGGTCTGAGCTTCCCTCTTGCATGGCGCCGATGGTGGTGCGCAGGTCGATTTCCTTCAGAATCGCCATATCTATGACGTCTGGTCTACCTCCGTTGCTGGGGTATATTGTAGGTTCGTCCGGACCTATCATGGTATATCCAGGTTCATCCATTAGTCTTTCGAGAACAGCGCCGTGACTGTTTCTGTTTCTTGAGCCCCAAATGGTGGACTTCGCATTTAGATCACCTACGATCACGGTACTGTTTCCCAGTGCAGTGATACAGGTGACATCTTCCAGATATATCGTCGATGTAGGTGGTACGTACATCGAAACGTGTTCAGAGGGCCGTGGTCTGTTGTGCGTACCGTCACTCCTATGGCCTCTGCAGATCTTAGTTCTGGCAGTCCCAGTTCCCAGTGGGTAATGCTGGTCTTGACAGCAAGTAGCACCCCACCTCCGGTTCTGTTCCGGTCCTTTCTGTATGTCGTGTATCCCTGTATCGTCCAGTGTGGGATTTCCCCAGAGAGCCACGTTTCTTGTAATGTCATTACATCATAGTTTCCTTTTGTTAGGACTTCGCCTATCTCATATTTCTTGTTGGAGACGCTGCGGACGTTCCTACTCAATATCTTCAGGCCCCTATTTGCAATGGTTATTGGAGTGCCCATTTGGAGTTTTGGTCAGTGCTTCCCTCTGTTTAGGCGTATTTTTGCTCCAGATGAGCGAAATACGCCTTTTTGGCCGCCGGGTTCTTCATCACCAGTGACATCACTTGAGATGCGTACTTGGTGGCGAAATCGGTCAACTCCTCGACGTCGCTGTCCTTGGCACTGCTGGCCTGAGCGACTGGGGCCACTTTAGATGCCCCAGCTGTCGTCGACGCATAACTACGGCCCTCCTGGACTGGACTAGGCCTAGTTATGGTTTTGGGTGCTGGCGCTGCTCGCGCTGTGCCCCTTGGTGCCGTCTTTTTGTCCCTTGGCCCTGCACTCGGCCTCTTTGGGCATCCTCCAAAGTTTGCGGGATGCTCTCCCCCGCAGTTGGTACACTTCGCGGGTGTTTCATTTGGGACCTTGCAGTCCGCCGCTCTGTGTTTTCCTGCGCATCTGACGCAGCGCGGCTCTCCCGTGCAGTTCATCTGGCTGTGACCAAATTGTTGGCATCGGTAGCACTGACCTGGTCCTGTCTTCTTCTTCAGTGCATCCACTTGGATCACCATGTGGCAAACGGCGTTTATTTTGTAGATCCCCGTCTCTTCCTTCGGGAGATCTACTTTTACCAGCGGTATGGTTTTGCCAGTCCTCCTGCTGGTCATCCTGTTCACCCTCTTTGGGTGGAAGCCTTGCCTGGCCAAGTCTTCTGCGATCTCTTGGCAGGTGGTTATTCTCGGCATTCCCCTTATTACCACTCCCAGTGGCTTATCTTCCGGTAGGGAGTAGGTATGATGCTCTATCTTGGCATCTTCTAGTGTTTTTCGGATCTTCCTATAATCGTCACTGTCCTTCGGCTGGACTTTTATGCCTGCACCTGTCAGTCGTGCAGGTTTCTCTATGGAGATCATCTTTTTATTGACCACCTCCTTCCACTGCCCTTCCTTGTGGATGTAGAGTGGTGGGGGCCTCTTCTCCTTTTTCTTGCTTCCCTCCGCCGACGGAGGTTTGGGAGTGGAGGACTGGTCCATCTCTTCCACTTCGGCTGGGGTCTTAGTTGCCGATGTGGACGCTTGCTCGTGTTTAGGTGCCTTTTTCTTGAGGGCATGTTCCTTTTTGCCTTCGTCTGAGGAGGTGCTGTGCCTCCTCTTCTCTTTCTTTTGGCTCTGAGTCTTCTCTTTGGGGGCTTCGATCTCGATGCCCTGTTTTGCTGCCATTTGCTCAATGAGCCTGGCAGTTCTTTCGCGCTCTTCGGCGCTTGCCTTTCTTTCTTCTATCAGCTGGCGGGTTAGGTCCGTCAGCTGGCAAGATAGCTCGGCTATCTGCTTTTTAAGGTCCTCATTTTCTTTTCTCAGTTTCCTGAGAAATCCCCCTTGTCGGTCACCCTCTTCGTCTTCGCTGGACGATGAGTAGACGTCCTCTTCGTCGTCCAGCATCTTCTCCACTGTTTTGAGCGTGTCTTGCTCTGTTTCGCTCTCCTCGTCCGACATTTTCTTTTTCGCTGTCGACTTTTCGTAAAGTTCGACTTTTACACAATTTCCAGTTGTGCCGCGCGCGCTGGAAATTGTGTAATTCTTGTGCACTGGTGCCTTTTCGGGCTCACTGCACTTCCCCGGGTTTTTTGTTGCGTCCTTTTCGCTACGCCCCCCTTTTACACAATTTCCGACGAGTGGAAATTGTGTAAAGGTTTTTCGGTACGCCCGATTTAGGCTTTGCCTGTTGGGTGGGCGTCACCCTCGCGTGCCGGCGTTTGTTCCGCGTGTCGCGTGGTCGCGTGTCGCGTTCGGTCTCACTTTTCTCGGCGTGGTTCACTGGTCGGCTGCTGCACTGAACGAATCCCACCTTCAACTAACGAGCCATGAAGAGAAAAAGGCAACACCGCATCATGGCATTTTGGGGTCCGGCCGTCCAGCTGGTGTGTGCCGTTATTAAGGCGCGTTTTCACGGGTCGATCTGAGTCGAACATTGAATCAAAAGCAAAGTGGTGTCGTTTTTATTTTTGGTCATCATACATCGCCTATCGTGTAAACCTTTTTGCTTTCAACTCAGATCGAACCATGGTCGAATAACCCAGGTGGTTCAACTTAGATCGACCCGTGAAAACGCGCTTTTACAGAAACTTCGATTCGAGCATTTTTTTGATGAATCTCAAATTTACGAGTACAAAGTACAAAACAATTTCACTAAACATAAGTTCAAAATCGAAATTACAGAATGTGAATACTCTATGCGAACCCTAGAGAGGGAAATTCACAAGAATACTAATTATGTAGTGCTTCTTATAACTAAGTTGTTTGCTGGCAGACGTATACAGGAGTAGAATCGTACTTGAGATGTATAAATGAGGTATTGCATTGCCACACCAAGTTACCAATTTATATCGGGAGGTTTTGCCAAGAGCCATATATCTGTGGTACTAAGGCAAAACCCAATATGTCAAAAAATATGTACACCAAATGACGAAGTATTCTATGGCAAGACCCGATATAATTTATAAAATTTCCGTAACACTCTAAATTAATGTTATTTTTTTAAGGAGGAGCTTAAAATTTAAAAAAAAAATTGGAATTACTAAAAAAATTATATTCAGAATAAAGATAAGAAATAAATAAAATACATAACTGGAAACAAAACAAAAAACAGTGTACAAACTAAAAACAACGATAACTGAAAATTAAATAATAAGAGAAAATAAAATAATTGTAACAAAATAATAACTAAAAGGATATTAAAAAAGATATTGCACATTTTATATATCATTCACACATTGAAGGTGCTCAGCTTTCTCCGCTTTTGCAAATCAAAGCTTGTGACTGGGGATTCAGTTACACTATTACGGTTGGCCCGAGAAGTAGATACATTTTGTTTGCTTTGTCAATTAATTTTGTATTATTTTTAAATTTAACATAATCATTTAAAACAATATTTGAAAAAAATGATTGGAGGTTTAATAGGATATCTCTATAATTATTCCCACATAAGCAAGTTTGAGAAAATTCCTCATAAACAAGATCTGATTCTATACTTTGCAAGGTTAGATGACATAAAATATTTTTCTGCTGAGTACTATGTAAAAACTCATTTTCTAGTCTATCTATGTTTATTATAAATTCGAAAATGGCATACATGTGGTAAAAAATAATATTGACATATTCATTTGGAATAGACAGTCCTCCTCTTTGCAAATAATTAAAATATTTACCTCCAAAATTTGTTCCTTTTTCCTTTACAATGAGTGAAATGCATATGGGACAATTAAGTTTTTTAGAAATACTATGTGAGGCATAACCAGAAATGTACATCTTAGTATCGTCTTCTAAATCACAATTTGATGAATAATTGCTACAAAAGATTTCTGAACAATCATGAAAAAGACGTTAACACAGCTGCACACTTGTGTATCGAGAGTCATAGTTAATTCCGCGGTTTACCCGCGCTTGCTTGAATTTCTTCACGTTGACATTCAGAGCACCTAACTCGAGTGCTGGTTCGGAGGGTTCTCCCAGGAATGGCACCTGTACTTTAGACGGATTTGTGCCCCTTAGCTTTTTGTACAGGTCCCGCACGTCTTGGGATGGAGCTTTTACCCCTGGTTCCTCCAGCCAGTCCACGTTGTTTCTGACGTGCTTGACAAGAATGCCTGTTCCTTTTTATATACAGGTATGTGTTGTTTGATCTTCCCCTGTGTTTCAGTATTCTCTGTCCTCGGCCTCGTTGAGATCTGTACTGTCCACCTCGACTATAGCGATAGTTGGTGTCATTTTGGAAGTTGTTGCGTTTTCCCTGACTATTAAAATAATGATATCCTCTTTCTCGACTATTTCCAAATCCACCTCCTTGATGTGTATACAGGACATTCGAAGTATTATCTTCTGAGTTGATGGACATAAATTTCGTTAGCGCTTCTTCGCAGTTGTTGAAGGTTGCAGTTTCCATTATTATTTTAACTTTTTCTGAGCTTGAATTGGTCTTCAAGGCACTTACCTTGCATTGCGTAGTGTATTTTTCCGCTACATTTGCTGGCACTCCTCCTGCTATATATGCTCTCTTGAGTTTATCCGCCAACGCCTCAACTTCATACGCATACTTCGCAGTATCCTCGTTATACCTCTTTAATGGCATGAGATGCATAGAAACCAACTGTGAGCTATCAGTTCTTATGCTGCTACTGAGTTTTGATATTATAACGGGTGATTTTTTAAGAGGTATAGAATTTGATTTTAAAAAAAACACAAAACATTTGAAAAAACGATTAAATCCTTATTTGACTCGATAGAACGGTCGATATAATTTAATGTTTAAAGATTATTTCATGTAAATGTTGGCCGCGGCTCCGCTTTAGATGGCCCATGCGCAAGGTCCAATTTTGGCACACTCTCTCCAACATATCGGCCGGTATATACAGTAAACTCTCAACTATCCGGCCTAAGGTGGCGGGCAGCTAGACCGGATAACGAAAAAGCCGGATAAGCCGAATTAATGTCCAAACATACGCAATTTTATTAAACAAATTTACGAGTATTTTAACTCAAAACTTATATTGGTACTTATTAAGGTATGAGAAAATGCATACATACATACAGTTTAGTACATAATACAGGGTGGGGCATAACTGTCGCCCTATTTTCAAAGCTTAATAAAACAAATGTTATTTGGAATACTATGGATTTATTTTGAAATCTTAAAAGTGCAACTCAAACAGTTTTATTTTATGTGGTTTTGAAAATAATATCGGCAAGGTGCTTTCCACCATTATCACAGCATTGCCGCAAGCGCTTTCTGAAGTTTTGCATAACTCTAACTAACATTGCTTGCGGTATTCGGCCAATTTCCAGACGGATTGCCTCCTTCAGCTGTGGTAAGGTCCTTGGACGATGTTGAAAGACTTGAGCCTTAAGATAGCCCCACAGAAAGAAATCGCAAGGCGACAAATCCGGGGAGCGCGCAGGCCAAGGAATATCGCCTCTAAGGGAGATCAAGCGTCCGGGGAACAGTTCTCTCAAAATGCCTAATGATGCTCGGGATGTGAGGGCTGTCGCCCCATCCTGCTGAAACCAGGCATTCTGCACATTGAATTCTGCAAGAGCTGGGACAAAAAATTCTGAATCATCGCTAAGTAGCGTTCCGAGTTGACGGTGACAGCCCGATTACCTTCTTCAAAAAAGTAAGGCCCAACTATCCCAGTTTCTGACACGGCGCACCAAACTGTGACTTTCTCACTATGCAGAGGCTTTTCGTGTATCTCTCTTGGGTTTTCGGCACACCAAAACCGAAAATTTTGTTTGTTCACGCAGCCAGACAAATAAAAATGTGCCTCGTCACTAAAAAAAACCGCCTCCTGAGGTAACTTTGCAATCATGTCTTGACATGCAGCTAGTCGATTGTTCCAATCACGTGGTGATAATTCCTGTACAATAACCATCTTGTATGGATGAAAATGTAGGTCTTGATGAAGAATTCTTCGTAAAGAGCGATTAGAGAGGCGAAGGGCGTCTGCAGGTCTGCGTGCAGAGCGGTTGGGCGAGTGTTCCACTGAGCGTCTGACTCTCTCTATGTTTTCGAGCGTCCGAGCTGTTCGTGGACGTCCACCTCCTCTCCTGATAACAGTTCCAGTTGCTCTGAAATTTTTCACCCACAAAACAATTGATTTTCGGTCTGGCACTGGTCGGTTACGAGGAATTTCAAATTGCATACGGAACGCTCGTTGTGCAGCGATAACGGATCCATTTTCGTGGATGTACAGGGTGCGCCAGAGAAACTTACTTATTTGAAAGGTCAATAAAAACAAAATTACTTCAATTATTGTTTTATTTTTTTTTTTATTCGAGAATACAATATCCCAATTTTTTTTGCATGTAGTCTTGAAAATGACATCGGATAAATGGCGACCTCCATTGCGCATACACTGATGAAGTCGATTTTTGAAATTCGTATCCACTCTTTGCAGCATATCAATCGGTATGTTGGCAATGGCGTCGCGAATGTTGTTCTTGAGGTGTGCTATGGTCCGTGGTCGATCGACATAAACCAGAGATTTCAAATAACCCCATAAAAAGAAATCGCAGGGAGTCAAATCTGGAGATCGTGCCGGCCATTGGAGATCGCCTCTGAGAGAGATGAGGCGGTCGGGGAAATGTTGTCGCAACAAATTCATCGAGTCTCGTGCGGTGTGTGCTGTGGCTCCATCTTGCTGAAACCACACGTTCCTAACGTTCATTTCTTCGAGTCTCGGAAGAAAAAATTCCTCGATCATGTTCCTGTAACGAGCTCCATTCACGGTAACTGCGCGTCCGTTTTCTTCAAAAAAATAAGGACCAATTATTCCCATTACCGACATCGCACACCAGACTGTAACTCGCTCACAGTTAAGTGGCTTCTGGTGAAGCTCACGTGGATTCACACCAGACCAATAACGCATGTTTTGCTTGTTGACGCAGCCGGAAATGTGGAAGTGAGCCTCGTCACTGAAAAAAACGACCGCGTCTTCAGGCAGGTTGTCAACCAGCATTTCACATGCATTTTGACGGGCAACAAAATCGCTTTCAGTTAATTCTTGAACAACAGCCAATTTATAGGGATGAAAATGGAGGTCTTCATGGAGAATTCGTCGAACAGTAGTGTCAGAAATTCCCATAGCAGCTGCGTGTTTGCGAGCCGAACGCCGGGGAGAACGCACAACTGACTGCCTCACTCTTTCGACATTTTCCGGAGTTCTGATGGTTAGAAAAGAAGCTCTCGACTGCGAAGGCCCGCTGTTCTCTAGACCAGAGCATGATGGCAACTGACTGGAGCGAGAAATAACAGGTGGGCTGAAAATTCCGTATCGTTTCAATGAAAAAATATTTTTTTCGTCAAAATTCGCTTTTATTATTCAACATAGTTGCCTTCAAGGGCTATACAGCGATTATAACGTTCTTCAAGTTTTTCGATACCCTTCCGGTAGTAATCCTTCGGCTTGTCCTCAAAATAGGCTTCAGTTTCGGCGATGATTTCTTCGTTGCTGTGAAATTTTTTTCCGGTGAGCATTCTCTTAAGGTCTGAGAAGAGGAAATAGTCGCTTGGAGCAAGGTCCGGAGAATACGGTGGATGGGGGAGCAAATCGAAGCCCAATTCATGCAATTTCGACATCGTTTTCATGGACTTGTGGCACGGCGCATTGTCCTGGTGAAACAAGATTTTTTTTTTCTTCATTTGTGGCCGTTTCTTGGCGATTTCGGCCTTCAAACGCTCCAGTAACACTTTATAATAGTCGCTGTTGATAGTTTGGCCCTTTTGAAGATAGTCGATGAAAATAATTCCTTGCACGTCCCAGAAAACAGAGGCCATAACCTTGCCTGCTGACTGTTGCGTCTTTCCACGTTTCGGAGGTGGTTCGGATGCAGCCGTCCACTCGGCCGACTGGCGATTTGACTCCGGTGTGTAGTGGTGGAGCCATGTTTCATCCATGGTGACGTATCGGCGAAAAAAATCGGTTTTATTGCGCAAAATCACCTCCAAACAGGCCTCAGAGTCGTCGATGCGTTGTTGCTTTTGGTCAAATGTGAGATTGCGCGGCACCCATTTCGCACAGAGCTTTCGCATATCCAAATATTCATGAATGATGTGACTGACACGTTCTTTTGATATGTTTAAGGCCTCAGCTATGTCAATCAACCGTATTTTGCGGTCTCCCAAAATTATTTTGTGGATTTTTTTCACGTTTTCGTCCGTAACGACCTCTTTTGGGCGTCCACTGCGTGCGTCGTCTTCAGTTGACATGTGACCGGTACGAAATTTAGCAAACCACTTGCGAATGGTTGCTTCGCCCGGGGCAGAGTCCGGATAACACTCATCAAGCCATTTCTTGCATTCGACGGCACTTTTTTTCATCAAAAAATAATGTTTCATTAACACACGAAACTCTTGACTTTCCATGGTTTTCAAAAATAACAAAAGTAGCGTCACTCTCGATACGATAACTCAAAAACTAATGATCCGACAGCTGTCAAATTTTGACAGGCATCTTTTGAAGGTTGGTACTAGCTAAGAAGCGTATGGATTTTATTCTGGTGGCGCCATCTCATAGAAACGATACGGACTTTTCAGCCCACCTGTTAAACTTGGGAACTTCCCCCTCCAGATGCGCCGCCTCTCGCCCCTCTACCCGCCCAGCTCACCGCGCGGGAATTTTTTCAAATAAGTAAGTTTCTCTGGCGCACCCGGTACATACATAATTATATGTATGTTATATTAAATATATTTTAATTATCTGCATACTATTTCTTTTTAAAAAAATCTTCTATTTTTGCCTGTTTTGCGCTCTGTGTTCTTTTTTTCGCTGACAAGTCCCTCCACTTTCTTAAACAAATTATATCTACTGGCGTTGCTTCCTCCTGTTGAATAATATACTCGAGAGCTCCTTCAATCATTTTAAGACCTTCAGAGTGTGGAATACGATTGATTTGTTCGTCTTCAATATCTTCGGTAACGGTTTTGTTACTAACCACCATTGTCACAATATCATCATCGGTTATGTCGTCGGCTCCATTACTTTCTATCCAGTCTGTAACGTCCTCCAAATTCACACTCTCACAGCCGGGTACTTTTACTATTAAGGACAGAAGTTCTTGATTTTCGCTCGCATTCTCATCCTCCTTGGGCATTTCACTTTCAAGCAATTTTTTCCATGACCGTTCCAGTGTCTTTGAGGGTACCTCTTCCCATCCTTCGGATAGCCATCTTATAACATCCAATATGTCGATTTTTTTTAGGGAAGTTATGCAATCGCCGTCGTTGTCAATGGACGATATTAAAAAGCTAAGAAGTCGGCGCCGATATCTTCTCTTCAAAGCTTCAAGGACACCCTGGTCCATAGGTTGACAAATAGACGTCACATTAGGTGGTAAAAACATAACTCTGATATCTCCATCTCGTAGTTCATCGTTCGGTGGATCCGAAGGAGCATTATCGAGGATAAGAATGGCTTTTCTGGGCAATTTGTTAATGGCAAGATGCTTTTCTACAGCTGGTACAAATTCGTTCTGAAACCAAGCTTTAAAAATTGTCGAGTTCATCCAAGCTTTTGTTTGATGTGTATACCAGAGAGGTAGAGAATCTTGATTTTTCAGTTTTTTAAACGCTCTGGGCTTCTTGGATTTTCCTATTAAGGTTAATCTAAGCTTGTGATTTTCTAGTTGCATTACTGCAAGCTAGAACAGTAACACGCTCTTTGCTTTTCTTGTAGCCTGGAACTGCAGCTTCGTTTTTCGATGCCAGAGTTTTAGTTGGCAACATTTTATAATTTAATGTTCCTATTACTTATGCTATCAACAAGCGTAAAATCACCTCCCTTACAGCAGTTAAAGGCAAAAGTGGGCCATTATTATCCGTTTCCCGTTCGAAGTATTCTAATAAGCATGATATGAGCTCTTTACACCGACTGATAAGTTGTTTTGGCATTTTGGATACTTTACACCACTTCACAGTAACTGTTGTTCTGAAAAGAACA